AGATAATCATCTCCGGATAAAAGAAAGATTATCAGATGAAAATATTGTGTTCACTGTCAGCATGGGTACTGAGTGAAGTAATAGCTTGTTCTAATTTTCTTCACTGAAACATAGAGTGGTCATATATGTTGTGCTATGAAACAGGATAACACCTGGAAAAACATGTGTAAGGGACTGGGAAGGGGGAAATATGCACCCAGTTGAATCCCTGCACTATGTTCACCATCTTTGGTAGTCTCATAACAGTAGTGCATGCTTCCTACCATAACCAATAGCATGATAGGACCAGGCCTAGCTGGAAATGGTAATTATTAAAATGTTAAAATGACTACTGGCAGGTAAATAGCCATGTTCAAGAGACCACCTCCTATGCAAAGTCTCCTGCCACCCAAGCTGTTCCTATATTCATCCAGTTGGTTAGTATTTTGGATATCACACTTCAGGGTAGTTGATCAGGTATTATTATTTCCATTTTAGAGGTAGGAAAATGGGGCTTCAAAGAGATTATTGATGTAGTCTCAGCTCTCTGTTGGGTTTATAGTAGAAGTAGAAGAAAAACAATCTATTTACTGAACCAGCACTTTGATGCCAAATGTGTGGGCATTTTTTCCCATACCACACTATTCTGCAATGCTCTGTGGATACCAATTGGGTAGCCCACAATTTGGTCCCATTCTGACACTATCTACCTAGAGTTAGTGTCAAATACTACAAGGCAGAGGACTCTGTCCCACAAGACTGCCCCCACTTCAGATGCTAATCACGTCTGATAATGTACCTGTGCTTCTGACCAACCAATTCTAAATCAGGGATTCCCACATCAGATTTGCTAATTTTTTTATAATGGGTCAGAAAATTCTGGGAAACATCCACTTAAATTGCCCAGTATATCATAAAGGACATTACAAAGGGTACAGATGAAATAGTACCTAGAATGAGGTATGCAGGAGGGGTACAGCTCCTTGCTTACTTCAGCAAACCCCTTTCCCACAGCTTCATGTTTTCACCAGAAAGAATGCTCTCCAAACCCCTTCATTTAGTTTTTCATGGAGGTTCCTATCATAACTCTGATTGATTAAAGTGTTGTACATTGATGACTGATTTCAATCTCCAGCCCCTCTCTCTTCCCCAGAGGGTAGGAAGGGGCACTGAAAATTTCAACCTTCTAATCACTTAGTTGGTTTCTCTGGTAACCAGCCCCATTCTCCAAGAGCCACCTTATTAGCATAAATTCAAATGTGGCCGAAATGAACTCTCGCAAAACAAAAAATGCTCCTCCCACCACAACCACTCAAGAAATTCCAAGGGTTTTAGGAGTTTTGTCTCAGAAACCAGGGACAAAGACCAAATATATATTTCTTAATATGTCACAGTACCCCTGGGCCATAAATATCATTGCATCCAAGCCAACCTCTTCATTTTATGAATGAAGAGATCCAGAGTTCGAGGGACATGCTTATGGCTGACTGTTGGTAGGTCTGTTTCAGAGCACATGGAGCATGTACCTTGAGAATGTCACCTTCCACAAGAGGGGACTGGCATTAGGGGACAGTAGACAGAAGTTATTACTCCCTCCCTTCCCTCCTTGTGTTTTGGCACTTGGAGGTGTTGAACTTAGGGTCCATATAAGACATGAATCTTAGAAAGTTGGAAAAATTGAAAATGGTAACTGACAGAGTCATTATGCAAAAGGAATAGGGACAGGAGCAGGGAAGATGGGTTCTTTGGATATAAGGTAGGAACAGAAAGTAGATGAGGGACAGAAATGCAGCCTATGCTGAAAGGAGGATGAGGAAAGAACATTTGTTGAATCCTTGTTCACTCAGTGTCAGATACTTGTGTAGGCTCATTCATGGAATCCCTCTTAATGGACCTTTGGGGGAGGAATTTAAATCTCCACTTACAGTTCATAATGGTTAAGAGCACTTCTCAACATTCTGAATCTAGCAGGAATGTGCTAGCCAGCTTTCCATCGCTATGACAAAGATACCTGAGAATAAAATTTTCAAAGAGGAAAAGGTTATTTTGGCTCATGGTTTCAGTCCATGGTCCACTGGCTCCATTGCTTTAGGCCTGTGAAGAGACAGAAACATCATGACAAAAGAGTGTGGCAGAGGAAAATCACATATTCTAAGGAGCCTGGCAGGGAGGAGGAAGAGGAGGAGAAGGAGGTCTAGATATACCCTTGGGGCATACCTCCAGTGACCTACATCCTCCAAGTAGGCCCCACCTTCTGATGTTTCCACCATCTCCCAAATCCATTAATGAGTTCAGAGCCCTTATGATCCAGTCACCTTCCAAAAGTTCCATGTCTGAACCTTGTCACACTGAGGACCAGTGTCACACTGGGAATCATTCAGCAACACATGAGCCAACAAGTTCAAATCGTAACAAGGAGGGAAATAGACTTACTTTCATAGTTGCAAAATTTCCCAGCCAGTGTCTGTCTAGTTTAGAAACCTCACATGTTAAGGACCTAGATCAGGAAGACCCAAGCCTCTGACCATGGAACAGGTCCTTAGGCAGAAATCATGGAAAAGCATGGATGTTTCTCTGAAATTTCCCATGAATTTCAGACCCTTACGTGCTTTTCCATTTGGACTCTCTGTAGGAGGCAGGTCAGAATCTGGGATTATGGAGTGGGAGGAAGGGGCAGGGTGGCAGAAATGGTCCCTTCATGCCTTGTTGCCTAGGGGAAAATTGCCATTTTACATTTCAATTAGGAGGGGCACTGAGGTCAATCAGCAATATCACTAGAGGAAAATGTGCCCAGCCCAGCCCTGGGCCTCTCCAATTATTATTAATGAACTTACTCGCAGAGCCATCAACCTTTTTATATGCAAACTAGGCCTTTATGGGGCCACTGCTAATCAGGACTCATTAGAGAACTCCTCATAAGCCTCAGCATCAAACGGAGCAACTGAGAGAGGCTTCTGCTCCTACCCTGCTACTGGGCAGGAAGAGTTCAGCTCCAGGCAGGGATCCCAAGTTCGCAGCTCTGGACTTAAGAGTTTCCTGCTGACTAACAACCCTGTCCTGAAATACTTCTGCCCAGTAGTGGGAACTTGCTCTTTCATGAAGGGGAGAAAAGATACTGCTATCTGAGTTGTGCAGCTGCCAGCTCATCTGTGGACTCTGAGCTATTATTTTTTTCCTCTGCCTCTCTGTTTCTGCTTTACAAAATAGAAGAGGGCCATTAGGTTGTTCAGAGGATTCTCAGATTCCAGGTACCTTGGGTGGTAACATGTTTGTGTGGGAGGTGAAGGTGAGTGGTACCAATGCTTCCCGAGTCTCACTCCACCTGCCACCATAGACTTGGCTGCTCCAGGGAGGGAGGGAGGGGTCACATTAATGAATATAGGCCCTTCTGCTGACAACCTTCCTCCTGTCATAGATCTGCTGTCCATAACTCTAGATTCACATATCTCTTACTCTTGCCCAAAATTTCACCCTTTTCACATAATCCCCTTCTTATCTCCATGTCCCATATTTCCATCTTGCGGGAGCATGGGACTCAGATAACAGCCAAGGGAGGCACAGGATGGAGCGAGTAAGGCTTGCCATGCTGGCACCTCAAGATCTCTGGAAACCTGCTTGAGGGACTGGTATTTGATGGGCTCCCCAAGCAAGGGCCATTACTAGTCCACTGTGCCATGTTCTCACCTTTCTGGCTCCATTCCTTTCTTCTAGCTTCCTTCACAGCTTCCTACTATTTTCCCTGTCCCTGCCCTCTACTTCTTCCCCTCATCTGTTCTTTCTGGATGACCAGGAAAGACAGAGAGATGACTACCTAGATTTGTGGAATCATGACTGGTCGGAATGTGGAATCATGACTTGTATAACCTGTAGTCCCACTTGACTGAGAGCTAGGGAAGCTGAGGCTCAGAGTGGGGTTGTGATTAGAGCTTCCCAGACTGTCAGAAATATGGCCTTCTCCTCCAAGTCCAGTCTTGTCATAAGGCAGGTCTCAGTGACACAGAAGCACTTGGCAACCCAGCAGGGGTGGATATAGGTGCCATGTCTCAGCTTGCCCAGAATCCATCTATCTTGGCATGCCCTGAACAGTGCCATGGAAGAAGAAGCCTATGGGATGGAGGACCCATACTAAGCCTTCATATGTCAAAGAGGACTCCCTCCTGCTCACACCCATCAGGCCAGGAACACTGACTCTGCCACCTAGCAACACTCCAGGTCCCTCCTATCATGGCCTTCCTTTCCTCTGACCCCATTCTTCCCCAGGACCCTCTGGTCAGGGCTAACTGTCCTGGGAAAAGGGACAGTTAGTGACTATGACTCATTTCCTCCATACCCAAAGGCTCTCTGGGCCCCACACAGCTCCAGAGCTAAATGTGACCACTGCAGGCATCTAGGAACAATCTAGTGTATTTCTGCTTCAAAGGGTATTTCCTCGGGGTTGGGCCATCCTCAGAGCTCAGCCAGAAGCTTCTAGATTAAAAATATCACTGGAGCTTCGTAGTTTCTTCCAAAGCATTCCCAAATGCCAGGCTCAGCCCATAGACTAGAGCCCCTCATGGCCCCTCCAGCTGTGGCCCAGACTCTTTCTTCCAGAGGCCAAGTCACACCCAGGCTTTGCCTTCCTGGGGATCTTCTCACATGGTCCATCTGTCCCAACTCCTGCCACCTGGAACTTGGCAGGCAAAGAGGCCATCAGTCCCCAGGGGGCAGTATGCCCAGGCAGTAGGGTCGGCCTCTCCAGGGGAGGAGTGATAATGGTAAAGAACCACAGGAGTGTTAAAGCATCTGGAGCACAAAGGAGGCATTAAAATGAAGCTAAGGAGGCCAGGGACAGCCTCTACAAGGAGATGGTGACAGGAGGACTCGGTGTTGTTCAGTCTCATTCTCTCCCTTCGGTGCCAGAGTGGGCACCAGCTGGCCATGTGGGGCTGCATCTGTGCGGCAGGGCAACATCTGGGGAAAGTCTGAAGCCAGCTTCCATGGCTTCCCAGCTACCCAACCTGAGCTGTGCTCTCTGTCCCCAGGACTGCCCCCAGCTGCTGCGAGTGGACAAGATCCTGGTGCCTGTGGAGGTGATCAAGCCCATCACACTGAAGGCCAAGAACCTCCCCCAGCCGCAGTCAGGGCAGCGTGGCTATGAATGCATCCTGAACATCCAGGGCACTGAGCAGCGGGTACCTGCCCTGCGCTTCAACAGCTCCAGTGTGCAGTGCCAGAATACTTCCGTGAGTCACCCGCTGTTCCACCATTGCCTCCTGGAGCAAGTGGCCTCAGCTCTTCAGGTCCCCCAGCACCACTAATCAGCTCAGTTCCCTGCTTCCCCTACCATGCTTGTCCACCCTGACCCCTTCACCCTGACCCAGTAGCATACTGCCTGTGATGCCAGCAAAGAGAATACCAAGTGCCTAACCCTACTTGTAGCCATATTGGGAAATCTGCCCAGACAGGGATAGTAGGGATGTTGGGCCAGCCATGGGGCCCATGAGCTCTGTTTGTGGGCAGACATTTTTGCAGGGTGCCAGATCCAGGAAGATTCTCTTCCCTGAGAGTTCCTCTAGAAGCCCTGGGCCTTGCATTCTCTGGGTCTGTCCTGAGAACTGCATTTAAGGCTGCAAAGACCCCATGATTTTCATACCTACACAGAGGTTGTGTCTGTAAGCACAGCTTCATAGCTTCAGAACAAAGCAGGTGGCAGCTAGGAGAACCACTGAGAATGAACAAGAGGGAGGTGGGCAGGTGGGGGCCACTTAGATAAGCTTAGTCCTGCCCAGTGCTTAGAAACTCCACAGTGAGTCCAAGCTTCACATGAGTGTCTTATCTGCTAACTATCCAGTCCCAAAGCACACCTGTCCCTGACTGTGTGTCCTGCTACCTTGTTTCTCCTCACCCAGTGCTTTCTAGCCAGGGCTCTGGTCTTTCCCACTCTCTTTCTGGGTCACTTCTATGCACCAAGATGTTCAAAGACCTGCATTGGGCTTATGGATGCACAACCTTTCCAAGCTGTGAGAAACCTTATAGTTTTTCACTGTGCAAAAGGAAGACAGACACCCAAAAGCTGGGGCAGCTATATAGGGCTGAGACTTATATAACCTGGCGACATTTCTTAAGATCAGAAATAGTAAGTATACAATAAGACCTGCATACAAATCTTGGCAGGCACTCCAAAAGCAACAACAAGAACAACAGCTGAGGTTCCATTTGCTTTGGGGTTACCTTCCCTTTGCAGAAGATAAGAGGCTCGCCGTAGGTCACATAGCTAATGAGTGGCAGAGCTTGATGGGTTTGAGCTGCCCTCATGTGTCATCCTGCCTCTCATGCACCCCTAGTTGCTCCTGAGTAGTTACATGAAGTAATTGCATTTGGGTGCATGATGTGGGACCTGAAAGCCCCCAGTGAAAGACCTTATGAGAATACCCTCCTTTTCCTGAAGAAAGTGTTTGAGGGGAAAATGGCACTCAGAGAAGTCTACATGCTCGCCCAAGTTCACTCAGCATTATAGACACTAAACTGGTCCTAATCTTACAACCTCCCAAATCCCAGGTGTAGCCCCACAACTTCTCATGTGTATGCCCCCCACCTTAGAACCAGGCTATTTTTCAGGTTTCTGCAATGTTCTAGGTTTAATATGTGTTTAGTCTTGATTAAACAACTCCTGTTTCCTCATAAATCCTGAGACCAAGCAGACTAACCTCAACAGCTTGACTCAAGTATTTCTCCACCAATCAAGAAGGTCCCAATGGAGACAGAAAGCTCGAACCCCACATTTGACTCTGTGGATGTGGGTGGAGATTTCAAACCAAGAAAAATAGTCTTTTTTCCTGGAAGATACTGCTCAGGGATACAGAGGCTTCTGGGGGGAAGTCTGTGGCCTCAGTGCCTAGAGAGGGGCACCAATGTCACCAAACACCAATGTGACAAACACCATCTGCTCAGCAGATTTGGTTAAATGTACAGAGGGCCCAAGCCTGACCCTTGTCAGCCCCTTAGGTCAGAGCTCCCTCAGTGCCCTGGAGACAAACACAGCTTTCGAGCTACTGGCTGAGACCTGTCACTGTTACTTTCTATGGAAATGGAGGTCATGTGCTGCAATGTCCCAGGCATTCCTTAGGCTGCGAGACATCTGACCCACTGAGCTCCCAGCCATCACTGGGGACTCCCAGAGATGTACAGCTGAAAGCAAAGTTTCCTGAGGACCAGGGCACAAAGGAGATCTCAGCAACTCCAAGCAGGCAAGTGCTGTCTGCTCCTCTGTCTTGTTCCCAGGGGACCAGAGGCATGGTACCCAGTCAGCACCTGTGGAGAAAGGATGGAACGGCCTTGGCATCTGTCTGTCTGATGTTAAATTTGGAGGTTTTCAAAACTCAGAGTTCACCCGGCTCCTCACTGGGAAGTTAACATCTAGAGACCTGATGTGCCAGAACATGATGGGTACTTCTGCCTCCAGTCCCTGGCCCAGGCCTTCTTGTACCTGAGTGTACAAGCTCAAGCACTTCCTGATCTGCTTCCAGGAGTGGGGGTACAGCATTGGCCAGCTGGTCTGGAGCCCAAGGCTCTAACCAGTGAGGGTAGTACCTGAGGTCCATGCTCAGGGCCCTCCGTCGTCTTCCCTGAGAGCTGGGGTACTAGGGGTTGGGGGAGTCCCCCTACATTCTGGTCTCCATAGCTGGGACCCATTCTATAGCTCCAACCAGTGCTGGACCTCCAGTTCAGGGCTCCCAAAGAACCTCTGCCAACTTTGCCTAAGTGAGTTTTTTACCCCTAGTCATCAGAAAGTTTATTTCTCCCCATTTTGAGTCTGAGACACTGAGCAACAGAAGGGCTACCCCCCAAAAGGAACCCCCATCTCCCCACCAGGGCTCACTGGAATCTCACAGTTTTAGGAGGGCTCAGTTCTCACTTTTCCCAGAGCCCTCTCTTTATTTGGGCTAAGTGGGATCCCAGTGTAACGCTGGTGTCTGCCAGGATACCACTTACTGCCAACTGAATTTCTTAAAAAAATATTCCTTAAGCAGGGAAAAGCCTCTTTCCTCTTCGATGTAGAAAACTAGGTACAGTCAGGTAGAAACAGACCTTACAGTGTCTTCTACATTTTATCAACAGTGGCACTGTAGAGGGCATAAGTCCATCCCCAGATCACACAGCAAATAAGGTGCAAATTTAGAGTTTGAATAGTTTCCTAGCTCACCACCTAATCCAAGGTTGGGCAAACACCAGTAGCACAGTGTTGTATTTTAAGCTCTGGTGTTATCCCAGGGAGCAGGCTCCAGTCAGCATCAGGGAAGATTGTGTGGAACAGATTGTTTTGTTTTCTAAATACAAGAGCAATCTGGAGTAGGGGGTGGAGGGAGGATCTAACAGCAATACCCTTGGGTTTATGATGGAAGCCGGAGGTTGGTGACAGAGATCTTAGAGAAAAGCAGAAAAAAGGGGACAAAGGGACAAGAATGAGCATGGCACTGGGTGGGATGATCAGGTGGAATCCTTCCAACCCTGTTATTTAGGGAAAACCCCTGAGCCAATGACTGCAGCCCCTGGGACAGTGGGAGGAGAAGAGGCAGCCCAGCCACAGAGGGGGAGCCACCATGGGGACGCATGACCTACTTTAGACCAAGGCTCCAGGAAAATGTCAAGTGCTGCTAATAATAGAGCCTACAACCTCCTCTCAGACACTGCAGTCACAGGAGCAGAGGGCTGCAAAGGGCACTGGCTGGTTGGAGTGCTGGTTGTGTAGGCCTGGTCCCCAGGCCCAGCTCCATGGCTTCCTGCTGGCTCATATTTTACTCAGACAATTTACCATGTGCAGAACAGAGGAGGGGAAGGAGTTGGGCACAGAAATTATCCTTGACGCAACAACTAAAAGCAGAGAATCCTAGAGGTAGACACAGCACATGGTAGTATCATATTTCTTAGGTCTGTTCGTGCATCTGGCAGAACTTTCCAGCAAAACATCTCACAGTTCAAGACAGGGACTGCTTGGAGGCAAGAATGTCTCAGTTCTGCAGAGATCTTCTCTGCCTTAGGAAGAGAAGCTGAAGGTCACACTTTCCTGAAGTAATGGGTAGTCATCCATTAGCCAGGCCATGGTGTGCCAGACCTTGATTGAGACTCTTAACCTTCTGGCTCTAGGAGTCTGTAAGCATCCAGCATAGACCAAGCTTCACGCAGATTAACTGCTGGCTGATTCAGAGAGCTATATAAATGCTAAGTGGAGCAGGGGTGGAGGAGGCCTGGGGGGATGGGAGCCCTGTGGCCTGAGCTCCTCAACTGTCAGAAGAGGCACTGCATTCTAGCCATGCCCATGCAGGGGACAGGTCACCACCACCTGGGAGAAGGGGCTTCCCCATTACTAGTGACTTCCCTGGAGACCAAAGAGGGTAGTGGGGAACACTTGGGGTTAATGGTTTCTACAAAACTTCATCATAGCAATCTCAGGAATTGAGGAAAAAGCTCCATGTCCAGCATATTTGATTCTTAGAGTCTTTTCTATTTTCAGTTTTCTTCAAAGGGCGTGTGGGCACGCACACACACATGTACACTAGAACACATGAGTCTCTCATGTGCAGCACACATTCCCATATGCACCAAGTGTCTGGCACATAAGCACTCAGTGCATGGCTGTTATGATTATTCCACATAAACATAAACACAGGCAGCACAAATAGAGTTTAGCAGAGCATCCCCAGATATATACAGAAATTAAAATACACAGCAATACTGGAGAGCTTAGACTTAACAAGCACAGAGCTCAGGGCATTATCCTGAATCCTCATCATCCTAAGGGAGATATGTACTGGTCTTAATTCCTGCTTAACAAATGGGAACCTGAGGCTTGGATCATTTTGCTTGTATTCAAGCGTCTGGTCACTAAGGGATCACTCTGTGGCTGTGTGTAGGGTGTAGACATGCATTTATGGATGTTCAGATAATATGTGTAGTAACAGATCTTCAAGTCAGCATATATGTAAACACATTTGTGCACACAGATATGCACACTAGCAGAATCTGGGGGATCTCAAGCCCTTCCTGAAAGGACCCTGAAGGCTCTATTGACCTTTGGCTCGCTGGTGCCCAGTCAGCAGCTGCTACTTTCACTTTGGGCCCTGTATATAACCAGTCTGCAGGACAAAAGCTGGCCTCCCACCCTGATTTACCCACCACTAACATCCTCTAAAGGCTGAGCTCTGTGGCTCCCAGCACTGCCTCCATGTGACCAGACGGTGCTCATCCTGAAGCAGAGCAGCCAGCCCTTTCAGGGATCCTCTAGCTGGGAGCCTGAGGCCCTGGTCATCCCTCCCCATTGAGGCCTTGGGGTGGGGGACACATTGGGGGAATGGGCAGAGGAGAAGCCCAGTCAAGGAAAGAAGATAAGAAGACAGCTTGCAAGGGATAGCAGAGAGGGAGGGGCACCTGTCCCTATACCTCTCCCTCCACTGGGCCAGCCCTGCTTCTCATACACAGTGCGGCTTCTCAAATTTAGTCTGAACCAGAGCCAGAGAAGTGCTTCTGCAGTGCTCCCCATCTTCAGAGAGTTAAATTCAGCAGGACTGGAGAGGGCCCTGGAATCTGCACTCAACCCTGCTTCTGATGAAGGGGATTTTAGTCCACTCTTAGTGGGCACAGAGGCAGAGGTCTGTGAGAAAACTGAAGACACATTGGGATGCTGCAGCCTGACCCAGTGCAGAGACTTAACCTCAGAGACTTTGATGAGGAATCTGCCCTATTCACAGTTTCCCTTCTCATCCTTTCAGTTACCTGTGGTCAACCACGGTCCAAAAATCCTTAGTGGAAAATTCCAGATATAAAAAATTCATAACATTTGAATTGTAAGCCTTTTTATGTAGCATGATAGAATCTCCCATTGCTCCTTTCCATCTTACTGAGATATGAATTATCCCTTGAGTCTGGTGTTTCCACATCTTACATGTTCTCTGCCTGTTAGTCGATATTCAAGTTGTCAGTTACATTATTGAGAAACAGGGATCATATTTACAATATCTATTATGATACACTGTTATAGTTGTTCTATTTTATTAGTTATCATTTTTAATCTCTCACTGTGCCTAACAAATTAAATTTTGTCATAAGTATGTATGCACAGGAAATAAAAAGCGTATGTAAGGTTTGGCACTATCTAACGTGTTTTGGAAAGTATCCTTCTGGTAAAGGATGACTACTATCCCGGGTAATGTGATCAATGTCTCTTATGTTTCTTCAAGAATAGGGGAGTTGGCTTTGTTCTTTGGACCCAGGTGTATCAATCACCAGAGAGACTCCTTGAGGATATTGATGGTGCACTCCAAACAACCTCTATCATGGGAAACACACCAGACATGCCTTCCTGGCTTGGGAGTATGGGTGCAGGGAGTTAAAATTTTGAACACTAGGGTAGAACCTGTAGACACCTGAACACACATCTTTTTCATGTTGTGTGGGACAACAGCAGGACATGTTTACAGTGGGGCTTATTTGGTGAGTCAGGGACTTAGGGAGATTTCTTGGATTGAGGATTATACTATATGTTTTAGAAGCTTCTACAAATGGGCTACAGACCTATTTCTGCCAACAGCCAAAGGCATGGATCCTGGACCCTGGAATTTCCCTAGGTGGACATTCCTAGTATCTGAGGCTGTCCTCCCTGTTTCCCTTGGGGAAGATGCTGTGGCCTCTTGGAAGAGAAAAAGTATTAGTCACTTCTCATGTAGCCACCAAAATTCCCACAGCCCAGCTCATCCAAACTTTAACTGCATTAAAAGAGCTCATTGGTTTTGCAAACACAACTTCAAACCAAGTCCCTTTTCAACAAATTCCCAGATCTCAGCTGCTTCTGTACAGAAAATCTGCCGCAATTCCATTCCTCTGTCCTCCCCCACCCCTGTGGGGGCAAAGTCTGGTGGAATAATGAAAAAATCACCAGGTATGGACTGAAAATGCTGCCAGGGGCAGGGTCTGCATTCCCTTTGCTTCCCTCCTTTCCTTGAGCATTGAGGAGCATCTGCTGTCAGAGACAGATCAGAGGCTGCCAATCTGGGGCCCTGCCCCTGCACCTGTTCCTTCTCCCCAGCCTGCACCCCTGTGTCTTAACCAGGACATGTAGGTGGGGCTGGGAGGATGGGGTGGGAGGAAGAACCCTGTGCAGGCCCAGAGGCAGCTGGCATGCCCAGGAGAGGAAGCTGGGGCCTGGCTGCCTTTGAGCCAGTGACGCCTTTAGAGTCTCATCGTGCAGCATTTCACACTGCTCCTGTAAGCACTCACCTGGTCTTTTGCTCTTTTATCTCCAGCCTCATCTTCCTTTAAAGGTTGTAGCTCCTTAATTCTTACTGTCTGCACCTGCTCTACCTAGTGTAAACGTGGGCATGGCAGGACCTCATAGCAGATTTCCCTGGGAGGAAGAGAGCTCCTTCTTGATTAGACTTCCTAGGGAAAACCCATCTGGGCAGGAACAGGCCTCCTGTCTGTAGCCTCCTCATGGGAGCCACAGTGATGAAAAGTGAATCCTCACTATCTCTAAGCTGCTCTTGAACTGGTCTCCCCACAGGTGTGCCTTCATACAGGTGTGCCTTCTCACAGGTGTTCTCTCACATAGGTTTGCTGCCACACAGGTGTGCTAGGAATCCAAACCCCACCAGAAAGAGGGTCTTTCTTTTCCTCCAGACCCTCTGCCCACCCCCACGTACACATGTATGTGCCGTATACACACCATACATGCACACCACAAGATCTTGGCCCATCATTAACCACATGTGTTCTTGGGTACCTGAGGCTGAGCACCTGGCCTTTAGAATTCTCTGTGACCAGCTTTCTTCTCTGCCCCACCCCTGGCTGCAGTATTCTTATGAAGGGATGGAGATCAACAACCTGCCTGTGGAGCTGACAGTCGTGTGGAATGGGCACTTTAACATTGACAACCCTGCTCAAAATAAAGGTGTGGAGGGGCAGGCATGGTGGGAAAGGCAGGGGGAGGGATTGAGAATGGGGTACCCACAATTGGTAACCCTATATTTCTCTCTCCTGCTCTAAGTTCCTCTGTCCAGCCTCACTACTATGCATGCTTCCCTGTCACTTCTTGGGTATGGGCTCCTGGCTGGTACCTTGCAGGAAAGGAGCATAAGGGACTTTCTGGGGAGAATTGCTACAAATTGCTTCTCTGTGTGGCTCTCTCCTAGTGCTGGGGCTCTTTTTCTACTTCTCTTCATCAGAATGGCTAACGGGCAAAACTGCCTGGGGACTACACTCCTGGTCATTCTCCCTGGCCCTTCTGGCCTACCTTGTCTCAAAGTATCTCCTGCCCTTGCCTTCTGCAGTTTACCTCTACAAGTGTGGAGCCATGCGTGAGAGCTGTGGGCTGTGTCTCAAAGCTGACCCAGACTTTGAATGTGGTTGGTGCCAGAACCCAGGCCAGTGCACTCTGCGTCAGCACTGTCCTGCCCATGAGAGTCGGTGGCTGGAGCTGTCGGGTGCCAACAGCAAGTGCACAAATCCCCGAATCACAGAGGTAAGCCACATGAGGACACAGTCTCCAGATGCCTCTGTGCAAAGCTATGAAGCCCTAGCAGTGGCAGAGACCTCATGGGACCCAGAGTGCAGAGCCCAACCCAGGGGGCATGGTGAAGGTCACAATGGAAAGCCTGCAGGACTTACCCAAAGCAAGACCTAAGCTGTAGGAGCACAAATGGATCTTCACACAGGGGTACAAAACTAAAAGGGGGCCACAGCAAGGCTAAACATGCAAGTATTCTGGACACAGAGACCAAGATCTGAATCCAGGTTCCACTAGCTCACTGCTAGGCACCCTGGGGCGAGTTCCTTGCTATCCACGCCTCACCTGTGTGGGGGAGTTACATAGATCACATGAAACTGAACTTTATGTGTACATTGCCTAGTTACCATTTCTCCTCCTCCTCCTCCTTTAGTGAACATCATCAAAATCATGACCAGTGATGCCTCAACCAAAGAAATCACTGCCCCTGGGGTTCATTTAAGTAGCTCAAGCTCTTCCCCTCTCCGCTGCATACTCTGGTAGAAAGACCAGCTAGGATATCCCTTTCCACTGTGGCTGGCGTTCCTTGCTCCCCTCTTGCAGTAAGGAAAAGAGGTGCCCTCAGCACTGGGACCATGTCTTACACCTGGCACAAGAGGTAGCATGTGATAGAGTGTGATAGGTGCTCAGTACCTCTTTGCCATTGTGGATAATGGTTATGATGATGAGACAGATGAAGGAGAGGCAAAATAAGAGGTACAAAGTAGCTCAGACTCCTGTAAGTGATGAGAACAAACTGGTACCTGAAAGTGCGTGCATTGTCTAACAGTCTCACAAGAGCAGTCACAGTCCTAGGCTATGTATATGTACAGAGCCTTAGAGTTTACAAGGTGCCTTCATGCCTCTCGCCAGTCTTCAAGGTAGCCCTCTTATATTAAGGTCCTAAAGTTGCTATAACAAAGTACCACAAACTATTTGGCTTAACCAATAAATCTCTATTTTTTTTTCACAATTCTGGAGGCAGAAATCTAAGACCAAGGTGTTGGTGGGGTTTGCTCTTTCTGAGGACCATCAGGCAGGAGCTGGTCTAGTTTCACTCCTGGGCTTGTAGGTGATCATCTTCTCCCTGAGTGTCTTCTCATTTCTTCCCACTATAAATGATCCTGTGTCTCATTTGCCCCCTTTATGAGAACACAATGACACTGGTCTAAAGCCTACATTATTGAACCCATTTAAACTCCATTGCCTATGTAAAGATCCTACTAGGGTTAGTTAAGACCTCCACAAATGAAGCTGTGGGGAGGACACATTTAACCCAACACACTGAAAGAGGCCAGGGCTTGTTACCTTTTGCTGTATGAAGAGATCATGCTCAGTGATTTTTTTTGCCCTCACCAGCATGTAAAAACATGTCCCTGCTCCCAGGTTCCCTGAGTCCTGGGTTATGTTCTCTACTGCAGCAGTAGAACTTTACACTGCCACTCACAAATTGTGCATGCGCTAGGGTTGTGTTACGGCCAAAAGGGTCTTCACTTTTCAGGGGGAATAACCTCACCACGTAAAGTGGCCTCACTGGGTGACTCTTACAATGTGCCCTACACCTCAGCCCTTTCATTGTCACATCCCTGCTAATCTAGACACGGGGGGCTCCAGCAAGCCCCCTTCAGTCCTCTAAATGCAGAGGAACTACACAGGGCAAAGCAGGAGCAAATACTGGCACATTTAGCCTATAGAACTGCAGCAAGATGAAAACGTGAATGCTCTGGTCCCCTTCTATCCTTCCCAGCCCATTCCACCCTGCACATTCTCTGTGGAATAGCTGCCCCCACACCATTAATGAGAAGCCAGCCCTGGGGATATGGCACATGGCAGCTTGTGGTGTGCTGGGCACAGCAGTCAGAGTGACTTGCTTTTTTCTTGGCTTGGGCCCAAGAAAATCACAGGGAGGTGGCAACAAATTAAACAAATCTCCCTGCAATGGAGGTTATTTACCGCCTCCATCCTGGCATCAGCCCTCCAGGGAACCTGGAGTGGGCCAGAGATAAAATTCCTTTTACAGAATGACAAGCCAGGGCTGGAATTTGATGTAGACACTGCTGCCAGGTCCCAGGGGCAATTGGGGACTGACCATCTGGGCAGGCACTGGGGACAAACCCAGACACCTTCTCTCTGCCTTCCTTGCTGCTCCCTGCCTCCTGCATGCAGATATAGGCCTGTGTTTCCAAGGAAGCTGTGTTTCCACTATAGTGGGAGCACAAGAGTACAAACTCTCACACCCATGTGCACAGCCACTTGCAAACATGCATTCCCACATGAGGGATGTGTAAGAGGCAGGAAGTGGCTGCCTCTTCCTTCTATTATAGGTAAACAGTTCTCCCAAGAAAGCTGCTGCTCAGGGGCAGCCAACCCTAATGCCCTCACTTCCCCAACTTTCAACCATACCCAGGAAGGAGCTATAACTGTGACCCTTTCTGGGCAGAAGTGTAGTACATTCTGAAAAGGGCTCGAGTCTCTTGCCATTCTAATCCTCCAGACATGAGCCAGGGTCCAGGTGCAGGTGCAGAGAGACCAACAGAGGAAAGGAATCTCTTTTGGTGGCTGATGTGTAGAGGTCATGATGGGCTCTTCTTGTTGACCATCCATTGCCCAAGGCTGTTGAGTCCTAACTGTCTAATCATGGGTTTTAGCACAATGGTGGCACCTTAGGAGGAAAAGCCAGACAGGTTGGTCATTGGGCCAAGGTAAAGTCTAAATTAAGCCTATCCTCCAGGAAAAACCAAACAATGAATGCAAAATGTGTGACCAGTGCTCCTAGAAGTTCAGAAAGATGCTCAAAAAGGTGTGGTTTTCAATACTATTACAACTCATGATATCAGTACTCATGATATCAATGTTGTCCTAACAAGACCACAGGAGCTATGAGACATGGGCCCTGCTTTCAGTGGCTCAGGGTCTGAAGAGAAGGGACTGAAAGTGGGGAGGATGAGGAAGCAGACATAAATAATATTTATCATCAAATGAAGTAGAAAAAGAAAGTAACTTGGAATTTCAGGGGAGAAAGAAAACATCTGGTTTGGGGAAGTAACATTTGGGAAAGATCTCAAAATCTTCTCAGAATGATCCTGGGTAGGTTGATAGGAAGATTTTATTTTCCTTGAAAGTAGATCTAATATGGGCAAATGCCAAAAGACTTTCTCCCAATTTTCTGCTAGCTACCCAGTAGTATTGCAGTCACATTTCATACTATGAGATGGGAAAATGCACCGTGGAGTTTGAACACAGCTCATAAGACCATTCACAAATAGACTGCTTTACCCAAGACCACAGCCCATAAATAGTCCTAGACTGCAGGTGCCTGTGAACTTGGAACCACTCAAGAGATTAGCAAAATTGGAAGAATGGACAGGCTTTGGGTTCTATCACAGGTGCGCACAGGCACACCTGGGACCTATATAACTTCTTCTCCTCCTCCCTGCAGATAATTCCAGTGACAGGTCCCCGGGAAGGGGGCACCAAGGTCACCATCCGGGGAGAGAACCTGGGCCTGGAATTCCGGGACATCGCTTCCCACGTCAAGGTGGCTGGTGTGGAATGCAGCCCTTTGGTGGATGGCTATATCCCTGCAGAACAGTAAGTGGAGGCCACCTGAGATATCAAGAAGGGAAAGGGTAGAAAGAAGAAGCTGGTATGACCTGAGTATCCTTTAGTCCAATGCGCAGGACCACAGGTGTTTCAGATTTAGGATTTTTCAGATTTTCAAATACTTGTATATGTATAATGTCATATCTGATGGAAGCCAGGTTTAAACATGACATTCATGTTTCATATGTACATTATACATATGATCTGGAGGCAATTTGATACAATTATTTTAATAATTTTGAGCATGAAATTATGTTACTTGATGTGGAATGTTTCATTTGTGATACTAAGTTGACACTCAAAAAACAGTTTAATGCCTTTCAGAGTTTGGATTTTCAGATTGGGGATGTTCAACCTGCATAAGGAATATCCTTGTTGATAACAAAGTCTCAGAGCTCCCATGGGGGAAAAAGAGATGTCTCTGACATTCTAGAGGTTTGGCAGGCCCTCCTGCCCAACATTCTAGAGGTTTGGCAGTCCCTCCCCCTCCAACATTCTAGAAGGTTGGAAGTACCCCCCCCCCTCCATCCTGCAACTTGTCACCCTCAGCTGCCATACTGGAAAAGTACGGAGATGAGAAGAGGTATTCATAGGGACAGAAGGAAAAGTGATGTTACTTACCTGGGGCCTGGGATAGAGATGAGACAAAATAAAATTAAAGCCTGCCAGGGAACCATGCATTCAGATCTCTGTGCTATATCTAAGTCTTAATTCGCTGATACATAGAAATTTAGTATGCTAAGGGAGGTGACATTTCAAGTCAGTACAGAAAGACAAGATCATACAATAAATAGTGCTGGTTAACATCCTGGAAAAAGTATAATATCAGATCCTTATTTCATATTAGACATCAAAATAAATTCCAAATGGATTAAAGAGTTAGGGATAAAAAATGAAACTGTAAAAGGATTAGAAAAAAAAACACAGGTAAGAATTTATTTGATTTCAGGAAGAAGGTATTATAACTACAAAAAAGACATTATAAAGACATTATAAAGGAAAAGATTAGGGAATTTGAGTACATAAAAGTTTAAAACTTACACATCAAAAATCACTGTAGGCAAATAAAATTGTGAGTGATGAACCAAGAATATGATCAGACCTCCCTATCACAGTGAGTAGATACTTTTCCTTAGCAAGATAAAAGGCCTTATAAATAAAAGAAAAATATCACAAAATGGGAAAAGAGCACAAACGTACAGTACACAAAAGATGTACAAAGGACCAACAATCATAAAAATGCAAATTAAAACAACAGAGAGCAAATTTTAGAAATAAGTACCCAGTGTTGACAAGAGGAATGGGAAGTTACAGACTCATTCAATCATGATGAAGATAAATTGGGACAAACTTTCTAGAAGGTATCTGGAAATATTTGTCAAAAGTCTTCAGCCTGGCCACCACACTTCTAAATCATCCTTTAAATAACCAAATTGCACAAATGTTTATATGCAAGAATGCATGTTTCAGCTTTATTTATAATAAAAATTCATGAATAATTTGTATGTCTAAAAATAGGAAATTTGTCAATGCAATAACTTACTGTTCCAATGCTCCATAACTTATAATGGGATATTTGCAGATAAGCCCATCATAAATTGAAAATATAATAAACTCAAAATGCATTTAACACACCTAATGCACCAGTCATCCCAGCTTAGCAACACAGTAGCGGATTGGCTGTTGCCTGCATGATGGTGGCTTTCTGGAAGCTGTCTCTTATTGTTACCATCCAGAGCCACAACAGAGTACCTTAGGACACATTGAGAGCTCAGGAAAAGGTCAAAGTTCACAATTCACAGTGAACTTCTACGGAAATTCTATGGAAGGCAAATCATTTTCATATCACTGCAAAGTGGAAATATTGTAAATCAAGCGATCATAAGTTGGGAACCATCTGTACATGCAGTTGATAGTGAATTACAAAGCCACTAAATCTGATATCAAAGAATCATGACCAGGCATATATTGAAGGTATTTGAAGCAAAACCATAGATTGCCAAGCAGAATACAGAATTTCTAATTAATTCTGTAAAAGAAAATACAAGATTGGAAACAACATCAAAATGTTGACAAAGGAAACCTCGGGTGATACCTTTGAGGTTTTTGTGCTTTTGTGTCCTTTCCATATTTTTTGCATGTAACATGAACTAATTGTGTTATCTGAGCAGAAAAGTATATATATATTTTGCAGGACTTTTCTCAGAGGTTCTTTATAAGAGAATCTCAAAAGGTAGATACTATAAAGTAAAACAACCAATTTAGCCGCACAACTTTTAAACTTTCAAGTGGCAAAAGATATTGAAAACAAAGTTGAAAGACATGACAAATTGGCAGAAGATAATTGCGTTATTTATGACAGACAAAAGTTAAAGTCCTAGTTCGGAAGTTCCTACATAAGGACAATCTCCCAGGAAAAGAGAACACTTCAACAAAAAGTCAAAGAAGAAGCTACAAAAGAAAACACACAAAAAAAAAATAACATGTGCAACCTCACTAGAAATAAGGGAAATGAAAATTAAAATGAGATTCTTTTTGCCTACAATATTGTAACATCTTTCAAATGTTTGCTGTTACTTAGTGTTGGCCCAGAGTGGACCACTGATAGAAGTGCAAACTGGGGCAGGCTTTCAGGAGCATTATTTGTTTTATGTACCAATAAATACACAAGCCACTTAACGCACCTTAAAAGTATGTTCTAACAAATGTACAGAACTTAGGGATGTTGATATGAGTTGGTTCATTTTGTAGTAGTGGTTGAAGGAGGAGAAAAATCAGGATAATGAAGTGTTCATCAATAGGAAGGTGGTTGCATAAATGATAATGCACTCACAGCAAAAAAATTTGGGAAGCTCTTAAAAAAATAAGGCTATACATATAGTGACATGAAGGAAAGTCCATGCTATGTGGTTATAGAACATTGGACATATTATCTTCTTATATGTATACAGTGTAATATGGATGTGTGTATACATATAAAGCTTGCGTGTGTGTACATTAATAGAGTTGTCTCGTAGTATCCCAGTGGTATTAGTTTCAACTCCCTAATAGATACTAAAGTTCAAGAATACTCAGATCTCTTCTATAGGTAACATAGTATCACATATTACATACACACATCCTCTCCTACATTTTAACATTTCTATTATTTATAATACTAAATGCAATGGGAATGCTATATAAATGATTATTATAGTGTATTGCTTAGGGAATAATTGCAGTATAAAGAGTCTGCATATTCAGTACAGACATAATTTGGGGGAATATTTTTGATACATGGTTAACAATACAGATGCAGATCACATCGATATGGAAGACAGCCTGTATGTATTTGGATAAGGTGTTTAACTTTTCTGTGCCCCAGTTTCTTCTCTCTCTCTCTCTATCTGTATCTCTATCTCTATCTCTCCCCCTCCCATATATATAATCTGCAAGGCTATATATCCCAAACACTTCACCACATATGTACACATACACACATAAATATTTCTTTGCCCAGCATGAGACACTGGAAACAAAAAATATGTCACTGAGTAGCCCAAGCATTGGGAGGAAGGAGCTCCCAAGTGAGGACCTTAGAACTTTAGATCGGTTTCATGTCCTGAGCCTGAGGGCTGTGGGCCCTTGGATAGGGCACGTTAGCTCTCTGTCAGCTCTTTTTCCTAAGCTGACTGATTAAAACCTTCCTTCCATTCTCACTAGCAATTGCATGAACAGTCATGAAGTAGGGACCAAATGATTGGGGTCAGGAGACTCGACTTCTAATTTCCCTTAAAAATTTCTCCCTTTCTTTGATACCCAGGAGGAGTCCTACAGGAAAAAACCAGGGGCTAGTAGTCACCATCTGGCTGCTGGGACAAAAGACCTACAATACACAACTCAAAGGAGATGAAGCTTATTTTGGCTCATAGTTTCAGCCCATGGTCAGCTGGCTCCATTGCTTTAGGGCTGCAGCAAAGATTAACCCATTGTTCAGGTTAATACCATCCTGATCCAACCACCTCTCTAGGTTGCACCTCTGAACATTGATGGCTGTATTGGGGATCAAGAGTCTTCGATATATGAGTCTTTGTGAGGCACTCCTATTTGAACCATTAGCAAAGGTGTCTTTTACACCCTCCTCCACTGCCATTCCTGAAAGTGTACTGCATAGCAAAAAGGCACGGGAGGAGCTGTGGGGCTCAGGGTTACAATCACAGCTGGAACCCTGGGGGTTCATGATTCTCTCTCTCCTCCTGCAGGATTGTGTGTGAAATGGGGGAGGCCAAGCCCAGCCAGCATGCGGGCTTTGTGGAGATCTGTGTGGCTGTGTGTCGGCCTGAGTTTATGGCTCGATCCTCACAGCTCTACTACTTCATGGTGAGTCCTGATCACAACAAACCTAATGAAAGTTACTGCTAGGTCTTGCTAGATATTCTAGCAAACACAAGGCAAGGGCCTACAGGCCTTCCCCCTCCTCTCATGGGAGTTCTGCCCTACTGTGAGAAGAAAGCCTTTGACTTCTACAAGATCCAGACTTAGCTGTGCCTGGCTTTGTGGCTCCAGGTAAGATGCTCTAGCCCTTGGATTCCCAGTGTCCCCACTTGGTTAAATGGAGGGGTCGCACAGTGAGTGGGTGAGTTCGTGGTCTACACCTGAAGACTCCTGGGACTTGTCACTCGGGTTCTGCCACTTACTAACCTGCTGAACTTTTGCAAGTTATTTAATTTTTGTGTGCTGCAATTTCTTCATTTGTAAAATGAAGACAATAATAGCGCCTACAACAGAGTATCATGAAAATTACATGAAGTGTGCTTTTTTTATTTTTCCTAGTACCATTTCCTATGTTATCTATAACTGCCACTATCACTGCCAAACCATTGCCTTTCCCTGCATACTCATGCCCATGCTCCCGGCCCATCACCTTCTCTCTTCCCACCCACTCATCAGCAGCCCTGTTGCATGACCTCTTTAATGCTTCCTTTGCTGGTCCTGAATCTCATGGGCCCCATCTACCCGTATATCCCATCCTTTTCCCTCTACCCCCTCTATTACCCCACCTCGCATCCACTGCCTTTTCTTCCTCCCATGACCTCTCTGCAGGTCACCTATCCTACCAGGTCTTGATTCCTATTCAGCCTAAACAATCCTGTCAAATGGTTCTGGAGGATACAGCCTTAGGAATCTCTTGGCCCTGTGACTGTGGGATGGTGGAGACATGGCACATTGTCTGCCACACACACCCAAAACTGACTTCTCAGGTGAATGACCTGGTGATGGTGTAATTTCCCTAGGGTTCTGAGCTGCTTTTGAAAGCTGGAGGCCTGAGGCAGTGGATTTTATGCCTGGGTATCAAATGTCCTGAAATATTTTCATGGGAAATCCTGCCCTCTTCCTTTTCCCTCTTTCTTCCTAGCGCTTTTCTACCCTCTTTCCTTTTGAGTTTGTTTTTCTTCTTTCAGCTGACAGCATTCATCACCTTGTATAATGATCCTCACCAGATTTTTGAGAACTATTTCTTTAATTAGGTTGAATGCTATAATGTACTTTGATGGCTCTGGCTATAGGGTTGTGGTGATAACACCCAGCACAGCCCCCCTCGCAGTAGACCCAAGGTGGGTGAGATCAGCTACAGTGAGACTTGAACCTGATAGGGTGAACTTCAGAGAAATGCAGGGCAGATGGCCCTCCCCACCTCTGCTCTTGGAAAACCAACCTCCGTTTAGGTGCCACTGACTGTTCCTGAATACACACTGGTGACATTCCTGCTCGCCAGTGCTGGGCATGGAATCTGGCTCTGGATCACCTGGCAGCCAAGAGAAAGAATGAGGAAACCACTGCATGGCCAAAGCAAGCGCTGGGCTTCCACAGTTACTCAACCAGCCAGCCAGTTTCCATTCTGTGTCCTTGGCAGTGACCCTGAATGACAGAGTAGACTGGACTAGAGGAGCTAACCTGGCATTTCATTTGGGCCACAGCTCCCTCTACCATCTTCCTCTGTGCCATATCTAGGACTTCAGCCCCCAAGCACAGTGCATCCTTTCTTGCACATTTCTGCCTGCAGCCTGACCCCACCCACCACATCTAGCACTCTTGGTGGATTATGCCTTGACATCCATTAATTCCTGACAGCCATCATCACCATGTCCTGGAGTCTCACTTTTCCTATTCTCTTTGCTTCCACCACGGCCTCCTTAAATCTACATTTGGTCTGTGCCCATTGTAAGCCCTCTACCTCCATGGAAAAATCATTTGCATCATGCAGTCTTTCCTGGGGGTTCCTGCTGCCTGAGATGCTGCCTGAGTTCTCTGGTGTGCCTGCCCTCCCTGCCCAATCCTGTCTCTCAAACCTCCACCCTTCCACTCTGTCTCCTTCCCCTAGCTGCACTAAGCCACATCTTCCCCTTCTGCTGTGCTCATGCTCCATCCTCTGTCTTCTCTGATATGCAGAGCAGAGCTGGGCTGTCACTGCCCTTGCAATCCACACTTGGTGCCAGAGCATCTACCTGCACCACCCTCCATGGATCATCCTCGGCTGCTTCCTCTTCTCATCCACATTAGCGTCTCCTAGGAAAGCAGCATTTGTTCAGGCCAGACTGATTTCCATGCAGATCTTGGGGAATTGGCATCTATTCCTGGAATAGGGTTGACACTGATGTACACAGAGAGATGGGAACAGAGGAGGAGAGAAGGGGACCAGAAGGAAGAAGAGCAGTCAGATCAGAAGCACAGAGAGGGATACCACATGGTGAACGGGCCATGAACTGACGGTCCTTTTCCTCAAGGCTGGTGTCACGTTTGTATTGGAGGAGCACCTCTGAGGAGCTAGCTCTTGTCTCACATCCACTCACTGGGGAACACTTTGAGGGAGGAAGACTGGTGCCAGTGACCCTGGCCTTGTCCTCTGGTCTAGTTTACACTGAAAGATTGAATCAAAGAGGTCCTCCCCCCACCCCCACCCACACACACACATGCAGAGCTCCAAACATCTCCTGGTGACAATAAGGGTCAGAAGGCCCCATGAGTCTCTAGGACATAGGTCCTGCCATGAGGCAGGAAGGAACAGAATCCCTTCTATAATGTTCCCAAGTAGCCAAAGCCTACTGTTTTCTGCTCAGCCAGTGGCTGGTGGAGGACACTCCTTAGATTCCACACAAAAGTCCCTCTCTTCTGGAGTCCCAGGACACTGGGAACTCCCTTCTCTGGTCCCTCTAGGGGTACAACTGGGAGTCCCTTTTTAGGACATGCTTCTCAGGCTTGGCATGTCCCTTCTCAGTGCCAAAGTTGGAGGAAAGATTGAGATTTCCCTCCTCAAATTAGTCCAGGCTTTGATCTCTGATTTATTTACCAATCTCCATGGCCAAGGGACCCAGATCCTGACTTCTGCAGAGAGTACTTTTCCTTCCCTGTCTACCTCCATCTGAGTAGCCAAGTGAAGAGCTGGCAAATAATGCGGAACTTGACTTCCCGTGCAAACCCGTGAAATATTTATGAAGCGTGACTTGAATAATTAATGGTTTCTCACAATTCTAAAACATGTCTCCATAATACCCTCTCACCATTCCTGGAATAATTCCCCCTCCAGAAGCCCCCTGATTGCAGCACCACTATAAACCCCAGAGGTATACCCATTTCTGTCCTTCTAGGTTTAGGGCTGGTGGGAGGGAGCACTCACCCCCAATCAGGCTGGGTTGGACTCAGCCTCTAGGACCACACTACCTTGTGCACAAATGGACAGCTCCAGCTCACTGGTGTGTGCTCTCTTTCTCTCTCTCTTAAACACACATACACACACACCCCACCCCTACCACACACCATACTTTTCCTTTCCTCTCTGGGGTCAGCAGACCTTTTGTGGTGGTGCAATTACAGAACAAGATAACTATTGAGAGCCTTGCATATAACCACTTTTTGGCTCAGCAACCCCCCTCCCTAACCCCCATTGTTACCAAAAAGGTTAAAGCTTGTCCTGAGCCACAAAGCATGATCCAGGCAGAGCTGAGGAAGGGGGATTCTTTCCATTGGGTCAGTGATGCCCATTGGGTATCACTGAAGGCCCCACCTCTGCATCTGGTTGCACACCAGGCAGTGGCTGTGTCTGACTTTGTGGGGCTCCCCTTTGCTCCCTGAGGTGTCACCAAAAGAGGCCTCCCAAGGGGAGGTTGCCAGCCACTCTTTGGTGGCCAGTTCTTTAAGGGGACCTAGCTGGAGAAGGGAAAGGGCAATCTTCATTTAAATGCAGATACAGACTTCTCACCTGGGACCAAGGAAAGTTTTTCCATTAAAATGCTAATGAAAGAAGGAACTGCAACTCCAAATCCCCAGCTGTTGTGGGCTTCTTTCCTCCCCACCCCCAGCCCAGCTCTTCATGTCCCAGTCTAGTAGGGGCCCCACTCTGCAAAAAAATGACTCTTCTTTGTGTCTGTCTCACAGCCCTTGGCTCTGGGCAGTGGGTGCTTTGGACAGCTTCCTGGAGAAGCCTGCAGGAGGGATAAGGCACCTACCTTCCCCAAATCGGTGAGACTGTAGACAGGAGAGGTAGTTGGGAACTACAGCTCTGGAGTCAGACCTCAGTTATTCCATTTTTGACTGTATGTTCTTAGAAAACTTACTAACATCTCTGTAAAATAGATAATAATTGCCTTTGTTATTGAGTTGATTAGGTAATTATGTGTATGTGTGTGTATATGTGTGCACATTGCTATAAAGACATAAAGCCTGACACTTAGAAAATCAGTGCATGGCAGCTGTCTTTATTGCTGTTGTAAATACAGTGATGCAAACCCTTAGGGTTTCAGACATTGCCGATTCACCTAGCCACCTTGACTGAAGTTTCCAGAAGGCAACTTGGGCCAGGAGCACCCCAGTGCCACCTCTGTCTTCCCAGTCATCATGCCTCAGGCTTGTCCTTTCCTGCACAGACCCTGACGCTCTCAGATCTGAAGCCCAGCCGGGGGCCCATGTCCGGGGGCACCCAAGTGACCATCACAGGCACCAACCTGAATGCAGGCAGCAACGTGGTGGTGATGTTCGGGAAGCAGCCCTGCCTCTTCCACAGGTAATCCCGGGGCCCTGGAGCGGGGGCAGGCAGGGACTTCCTGGCTAACTCTTGGAAGTACTTGCTGCTCCCTAAGAAAGTGGGTGCTGTCTGGGGTAGAGCACTGTGGCTCATCTGGAGCTCTGCCAAGCACCCTTCCTTGGCACAGAGTGCAGCTTGAAGTCTGCTCAAGAGCCTGCTCCTAGAGCAGCTACTCAGCAGCTGCCTCAGAGCCAGTTGAGACTCAGAGCTGACTGGAGCAGGACCAAGGCTAAGCCTCCCTCCTTGTGCCACTCTCCAGCTCAGCAGGCATGCCTAGCCTCCCATGAGCTTGAGAAGATGCTTAGCCTGAAGGCTGCTAGCAAGAGGTATATCTGGAGGGCTCTGTGATGAGGGCTGTCATAAGTCTGAAGTAAGACCGGGCCAGAGGTTGCTTCAGCAGTGTTAGAGAACAAGTTACTCTGACATGTTAAAATGGCAAGGGAGGCTTGGTCAGAAAAGCCACAGCCAAGTGGAGACTGTCCCACTAAGGGAGAGAGACAGCTCAACTCCAAGTGCTGTGAACTCAGCTAGGGACTGAGAGCCAACCAGCAGAATGAGGATTGGGAGGGAGAACTGGGAAGAGAAGTTGGCAATCTGGCGGAGCCGATGAGATTCTTGCCAAAGGAAGGCCAGAATCATCAGAAATCAAGGTCTTGGAAACCTCACCAGACTGATTTAGCTGGATTCTTGGTTTAAAAAAAAAAAAGAAAAGAAAAGAAAACAGTGCTAGGTAGATCAAAGACTCAGGCCTGTGTGAGTGGTGGGCTCAGGGAGCCTGTCTAGAGCTCAGTCCAGGATAGTGTCTGTTCCTGGTTCTGGAGCTTTGCATCCAAGTCAGTGCTCACCCTTCACCTCCAAGGAGCCTGATTCATAGCAGTGTGATACTAGGATCACCATCCTTTCAGTATCTGGGGCCTCAGTGCTCTGCCTTCCCTCCTCCAGGCGATCTCCATCCTTCATCGTGTGCAATACCACATCCTCAGATGAGGTTCTGGAGATGAAGGTGACAGTGCAGGTGGACAGGGCCAAGATTCGCCAGGACCTAGTCTTCCAGTATGTGGAGGACCCCACCATTGTGCGCATTGAGCCGGAGTGGAGTATTGTCAGGTAGGAACTGCCCTAAGAGTACCTTCATGCCGGTGGGCCCCAGTTTCCCTTCTGTACCTCTCAAAAGCTAAGGAGAGTCCTGGCAGCTTTGGAGACAGATGGTCTGGGCTGGTTCTGAACATCCCCAAATTAGACTACCCTCTAGCAGTGGCTCCCTTTTTCTGCCTCCATGTGGGACCAGGCCTGGAGGCTGGGCCCTGATTTCAGAACTGTGTCTCTCCTACCCACAGTGGCGGCCAGGTCTCTCACTATGGCCAACAGGGACATTCTAGTTGTGCCTTAGGTATGTGGGAGGGGTGAGATCAGAGCCATCTTCCCTGAAGAGCAGGGTTTGGGTCTGGCTCCTTTCTTCCCTTAATGTCTACCATGAGGGCACTGCATGTCCCAGGTGGCCAGACCAGTGTTGAATGCTGGTGTAGAAAGACGACTTTGACAAAAAGTTGGGGCTCTTCAACCATTCACCTGGGGTGAGTCACAAAGAAGAAACCTTTTGTGCAAGTCGCCTGGGGATTTGGAAATCCGAGGTCTTAAGGTCTCTGGAAGGGCTCATCTCACCTCAGAGGTGGAGCTGTGTCTGCTTTTCCAGATCCTGGAGGATTCATGAAGCAGTGTTCCCTCCCCAGCCTCCTGACCAGGCCTCAGTCCTGTCCTTTCTGTGCCTGCCAGAGCTCAGTCCTCCCCCAAACCAACACTGTCTGCTGTAACTCTGAGTGGGGCTGGAGCTGGGGCGGTATAGAGACAGCATGAAGAAGTGTTCTCCACGGCTGGAGCATGGACTGGTCAAGGGAGCAGTCTTGAAACCAGTGATGCCTGGGTCAGATCTGGCTGGTCACTAGTTTTTTAAAATAAGTCTTAATTGACACCCAGTCATGCTGTTCTATCTGTTTGGCCTCTATCTACTTTCTTACCACCACAATAGAGTTGAGTAATTGTGTGACAGGGACCATAAAGCCTGTAAATATAACCCTGCTTTGTTGATTGATTGATTGATTGGGTGTGGGAATTGAACTCGAGACCTTGCATTGCCAAGCAGGCACTGTGCTGCTGAGCTATATCCCCAGCTATCATAAGGCTATCATATTCCCTTTTTCAGAAAAAGTGTGTCACCCCCTGTCTTAGCCCAGAGGAAAGGAAGGGTAGCTGCTTGGATGGGATGTAGCTCTCCACAGCAGTTGCTAAGTCAGGCCACGTTTAGGAGCTTTAGCTATGATCTTGACACAGATGAACAGGATAAGGCACAGAGAGGGAAACAGCCAGTGCAAAGGTGCATCCACACTGGACCGCAGGGCTGGCAAATCAAGAGAATCCATGTAACCCCTCTTGCTTTATTCACTAAGCTCTACAACTCTGAGCAATTCACAGCCTGGGTTCAAGTCATCATCACAGAAAGAGATATGTCATTCTTCCTGGTGTCCATCAACCATCTCCACATCATACTTACATCAAGAAGGAGGCTGGAGACTTTAGGATGGCCACACAGCTGCAGTGCTCCTGGTTAGGTTGAGGAAGTCTAAGGATAGGCGGGACTGTGCCAGTCTGCACCAGGTGGGGCTCTGCACTGCTCAAAAAGCAGCCCTGTTGGCTTTGGGACACAACAGGGGCATTGTACCTGCACATGGAATTGATGACTGAGAAGACCAGAGAGATGGCTGGGCACCACAAGCTCACCTTGACCACTATGGGGACAAAAGAGCCTCTCTGGGTGTCATAGGAATCTATGTGCTCAAGGACCAAAGGAAGGGGCTGGGGGCCTAAAGTTGGGCAGATGGATAGACAGATAGAAATCACTATGGGTGGTAAAGATTCTCTTAATCACCTTGCTAAGCCCTTTTTAACATAGGAATCTTCTCAAAGATACTCCTTTACCAAGAAAATAAATCAATCCTTGCTGTCCTTTAAGTAGCTCCCAAGGAAGATTTAGACAAGCATACTGCTGCTCATTCCTTTCCACAAACTCCTCAGCCTCCCTGGGGACATGGCGGTGGCATCCTTTGAAGGTCACAGTGAGCCCTTCCTCCTGAAGCCTCTCTATCAGTGTCTTGTGTGTCATAAGGTGCCAGAGACCTGAGTCTGGAGCCTCCCACACTTCCCTCCTGAGGAAGTTTTCTGAGTGCCTGGGCCACTGCTTTTCCCAGATCTCAACCTATCAAGGGTGCAGGCCTCCAAGGGTGAAGGTGTCAGTCTGATTGCCAGGGAGCTGGAGGACGCTGTGCTTGGATCCTCCAGGGTGATGGGACATCTGGAGCAAGGCTTCCATTAGACTAGGCCAGGGTGAAAAATGTGCCAAGAATGGCGAGAACCGAGGAAGACTCCAGGACTTGAGAGAGACACCGGCTTAGTCAGGCTCAGGTCAGGGGCCTTCGAGACCCAAGGGGCTGTGCTGTCACCTGGGTCTCTTCACACTGTCCTCGCTCCAAGTCAGCTCAACAAAGGATGCCACAGACATCTGGACATCACTGTCTTCCCCTTGGCTGCTGAGAGACGCTCATTCTTATTACCGTGCAATTGCCTTGTCATCCTTGTCCCCAAGAACATGATTGTGCTGTCTGGTTATCATTGTTCTTATTGTCAGAGCTCATCTTGATTATCATCATTGTCGCCACCGGGTGCTATTGTTCCTACACTGATTCATGAGCCTCATTCTTTCCTCCCTGACAGTGGAAATACACCCATTGCTGTGTGGGGCACTCACCTGGACCTCATTCAGAACCCCCAGATCCGTGCCAAACATGGAGGGAAGGAACACATCAACGTGAGTCCAACATGTTGCCTTCTCAAAAGGTGGGGTGTCCCAGGCATCCTGCTCAGAGAGGGAGCCACAGTCTGTGACTGCCCTCATTGCTAGGATGGTGGACATTTTCAGCCCTTCAGGGGTACAGGCCTGGAGGACTTCTGAGTTTCTGGGAATTCACATTCCTTCTCCTCTATCCTTCCACCCCTCTATTACTCTCTAGCTTAGAAAATACCCTGCCCACTCCCAAATTCACTATGGGCAAAACTAGAGTGAGGTGACAGCCACAGAAGTACAGCTTCCTCATCCATAGTGCACTGACAGATTACAAGAAGACCCTGCACATATGGGGATGGGCAGGTACACTGCGTCTTCTCCTTCCCTGTTTCCCCACACAGATCTGTGAGGTTCTAAATGCTACTGAGATGACGTGCCAAGCCCCAGCCCTTGCCCTGGATCCTGACCACCAGTCTGACCTCACTGAGAGGCCCGAGGAGTTTGGCTTCATCCTGGACAATGTCCAATCCCTGCTTATCCTCAACAAGACCAACTTCACCTACTATCCCAACCCTGTGTTTGAAGCCTTTGGACCCTCAGGAATCCTGGAGCTAAAGCCTGGCACTCCCATCATCCTGAAGGTAGAGTGAGGCAGCATAAAAGGAGGCCACAGCATGGATGGGGAGGATGTCTAGACATGGGAAGAGGACAAAAATACTGGCTCCTGTCAGAATTCATGACTGGTATCCCTTAAAGAGGTTGCATGTAGGGCTCAGCAGTCAACAAGCCTGATCTGTCCAGGACAGGCAGATGCACCTAGGCTATTGGAAACCCAAGCTTTGGTCTTCAGAGTCCAGAAACTGGATGGTCAGAGACTCATGCTGTGTCCTACCATGTACTCATTTGCAAAACACACCTTAGTTTTTCTTTGGAGGGCATGGATTATAAGTCAACTTTATCTTGTATGAAAATTTGAATCAAGTGGTAGTGACTGAACAAAACTTTGTTCTGCACTGAAGATTCTGAGACTACACAAAGGATAAGCCAAAAACTACTTTATTTCCCACTGGGAGGAAGGGAAGATGGTCATATATGTGCTAACTAGTCTGTTTTCTGTTACTATTGCAAAATACTTGAGGCTGGGTATTTACAAAGAAGTTTTAGAGGCTGCAAGTTTAAGTAGTGTGGTATTGACTATTCATGTGGTGATGGGAGAAATCACATGGTAAGATAGGATGACCAAAGGCAAGGAGGGGATAGTTATGACTTCCCACTAGACCCCACCTTTTAAAGGTCCCATTGCCTCTTATTGTCACTGAACCAAGGACCAAGTGTCTAACACATGGACCTTGGAGGGACAAATCATGCCCATACCACAGCACATGCCTTCAACATATTTGTCTATGTGGCCCTTCCTCCAGCTCACCAGGGGGATGCACTACCTGCTATGAAGCCACCAGGGACTGGGATTATGATTCTGGTGGGAATGGGGGCTTTTCTGTGTGTCTAGGGCAAGAACCTGATCCCACCTGTTGCTGGGGGCAATGTGAAGCTCAACTACACCGTGCTGGTTGGGGAGAAGCCATGTACTGTGACAGTGTCAGATGTGCAGCTGCTCTGCGAGTCCCCCAACCTCATCGGCAGGCACAAAGTGATGGTGAGGCTGGCAGGACCCCTTCCTGAGAGAGCAGGTGGGAGTGATGCTGGGTGAGAGTGGTCCAGTGAATCCAGGTTGCCAGGGATTTTCCTGGGAGATCTCAGTCCATTACCAGCTACTCTGCACCCACGCCACGTCCCAGCTTCTCCATTCTACCCTGTCATTTTTCCTTTATCTCCTGGTGTGAAAACAAGGGCACTGCAAGAGCGCCTTGGAGGAGAGAGCCATCTCTGGCCTAGGGAAATTCACAGTGTCTTGTTCTGTGCCTCAGTCTCCCCCTGACAAAGGAATGAGTCTTGGGGAAGTTTGTTAGGGATGTTCTGTGGCTGCGTAGTCACTGGCTATGGGTTGTCTCCTGATGGAAACAACATAGGGGTTCCTAAATAAGAGGCTGTGCAGATTCTCTCCTTGAGGAGTTACCTCTAACATCTGTCCCCTTCTTCAGTCCCCTGGGCCCTCCTATTTGTGTAATCTGATAAGGCTCCTCCTTGTCAGTCACATCCTCCCTCCTCCTAACTCTATCCCTCCCCACACCTCCCGGTGTGTTCCCAGGCCCGTGTGGGTGGTATGGAATACTCCCCGGGGATGGTGTACATCGCCCCGGACAGCCCTCTCAGCCTGCCCGCCATCGTCAGCATCGCTGTGGCTGGTGGCCTCCTCATCATCTTCATCGTGGCTGTGCTCATCGCCTACAAACGCAAGTCCCGCGAGAGCGACCTCACGCTGAAGCGGCTGCAGATGCAGATGGATAACCTGGAGTCCCGTGTGGCACTGGAGTGCAAAGAAGGTACTGGTGACCAGCACTGTGTCCCTGCCAGAGGCTGTGTGTATACTTGTGTGGACCTCTAGCAGTCTGGGCAACATTGGGCAGTGTTGGAGGGTGAAGGTGTGTGTGTGTGTGTGTGTGTGTGTGTGTGTGTGTGTGTGTGTGCATACATATATTCATGTGTGCATCTATGTCTGTATTCATGTATATGTGTGTGTCCCTCATTCACAGGCCACAGGCTGAGCAGTCATGGGCAGTGCCATGGTTATATATATGTATATACATATATATAGCAGATGCACATGTATATGTGTGTGTGCATTTGTATGCATCTCACTTGCAAGCATTCTGGGTAGCTATGGGTAGGCAGTTATGGAGATTGTGTGTATACATATATGTAAATCCATGTGCACATGTGTGTGCATATGTATTCGTGTGCATGTATTACTTATTCACAAGCCCCAGGCTGAGCAGCATGGGCAGTGCTGGAGGCCAGGTGCCATATTCAGAGATTTAATACGTCTCTGACCCTGTATCCCAGATGAAAGTCGTACCTATCTGTCCACACTGCCAGGGAGGAATTAAATCCTTCCAGTGATAAGACTGGGATCACCAACCCCCAGCAATCTCCAGATCCAGAGTCTAGCTGAGTGGGTCCTTGAGGGGAGATCTCATCATGACACAGTTAAGCAAGCGATCCTCATCCCTCTACCTTCAGCAGTGGGAGAAGACTGTAGGGCTGACCTGTTATGCTGAAGGAAGAATGTTTCACAGGTGTTTTTTAAAAAAAATTACAAATACCATCCTTAAATAAAATCAGCTACAGTAAACCTGAGAAGGAAACTTAGAAGCCAGACTCCCATAACCCTGGGGAGGAGGATCGGAACCAGTTCTCTGCAGTCAGTGTGTACGCAGAGTTAATCCGGCCCTGTACTTGGTCTCCTGAATCACACCAGTTCCCACCAGGGAAGCTGTGGCCAGTTTTGATGAGGAAGTGGATCCATTCCATCCCCTCGCTGCATCCTTCAGCTGTCAACACAGCATCCGCCTTGTGGGACTGTTAATTACTGCTTTTATTATATTTACGCTGTTTAATTTTTTTCTCTGCAATGTACTCTTCCATCTAATTAGGTGTAGTGATTAGAATCTCTTTTATGTGTGGCAGGCGTGAGGCTTTGAATGTTGGAGGCGCTTGGTGACTTAAAGGAAAGCTGCAGAGGGATCAAAAGCTGGTTTCTTCCCTCTCCTCACAGCCAACTGAGCACCCCAACAGGGAGGGGGCAGCCGTGGGAAGTGCATGGCCCAGAGGATCTGCTAGAAGGTCCCCTGGGTGGGGGGCTGAGCAAGCAGGCAGGAAGGACTCCAGCCCAAAGTTGGTGGAAGCCCCTCTGGGAGCCTGGGCTCAAGACTTGGGGACAGCTGTGCACAAGGGCTGGAAGGAGTCTTCCAGTAAAGGACATGCAGAACTCTCACCCTACAGGCACTGGGACTGCTATTCAGCCTCTTCAGGGTGTGAGGTCAGAGCAGAGTTTTCCTGGAGACTTTACAGTAAGCCAGGATGTCACCCATGTCTGAACTCACAGGATCCCCTGCAACTCCCTGCAGGGCCTGAGCCTCGGAATGTAGAAGCACATATATGTGCAGATATACAGTCCCCTTTTTCACGTGCTGATACACTGACATGCTCATGCACTCACACTCTCTCACATCCCCACACTCCCACACTGACACACTGGCCTACACATACACACCCACATGCATTGGCTCATACTCAGCCAGTGCCACTTACATACCCTCACATGCACACTGACACTGACACACTGCTGTACACACACACACACACACACACTACATGCTCACATGCTCTCACACCTGCTCATCCACTTTCCCACACAGACATGAACACACACATAGCTGTATGTGCCTCAGCCAGAACATACATGATTGTCCATCAGGCTTTTGGTGACAACACTATTGACTCCTCTTTGCACATGCACTCACATGCACACAGACATACTCACACACAATGGAGTAAGTTCTGCTTCACTATATTAGGGCTCCCTGCCTCCAGTCTCTCTGCGTGACAAGAGCCTGTATGGACAGAGCAGAGGTGGGGAGTGTGAGAGGACAGGGACGGGGCTTCAGGGCTTTGGATGCTCAGGTCTATCCTCTGTCTTCTCCAGCAAGTCATGGAGTTTGCTTGCTACCAAAATCCATGGACATTCATGGCCATGACATCAGCACTGCAGGGCAGAGCTGCACCAAAGTCACTAGAACAGGTGGGGCAGGGCCCTTCCATGGTTCTTGGGGCATGTAGGTCATGTTTATGTGTCAGCATAGCCTACTAGGTCTGGGGTTTGCATTCTGAGACCCTAAACCCATCCTGGGCTTATGAAGCCCTTCCTAGTCTACAAAGTATTTTTCCCTATTATTATGCCCATATAAATAGAAACATTGGTCAGTCAATATCTCTAGCTATTCTTTGCCAACATATGTTCATCCATCTGTGTTGGGTGTGTATGTGTGCGTGGATATACAGACATAGGGATGTGTATGCTAGTGTGCATGTGTGTGTGAGCATGTGTGCTTACACTACAGAGAAAGGCAGAACAGGGCCCGGCTGCCTGCTTTGAATGCCTTGAGTGACAAAGGGTGGCCCCAGGGGAGGATGTGCCTTGGACAAAGTGCAATGACAATTTTGGCACTATGTAACAACCCCAGCTGCACTGTGTGCCAGATTTTCCCAGAGGCCAGCTGGGATCTTGTCACACTGTTCACCTGGAGGCTTGAGCTGTCCTCACAGTTAGCAGTGCCCATATGCAGTTCATAATTCATCACCTGGTAGCATCACCTTGAGCAGGAAGGACAAAGACACACCTTGTGCATCTATGTGGAACAAATAGTCTCAGTCCCTCCATCCTAGCCTTATTTGGAGGTTAGATGGTCGCAGTGAACTGCACACTACAGAACTGGGCCCTCAAACTTCCTCCCTCTATCAGAAGAAGTTGTTCTTAAGTGCCAAAAAGAAACCCAGTGCAAACACATCAACAATATAGATGCACCCTACCACCTGTCTCTTCTCTCCTCTTTTTCCTCTAAGTCCTCCTTTCCAACCCGGGTTAGAAAGCCTTCCTTCTTTGAGTGGGGAGTCCTTTCTGGTGTCAGCCACAGCACAGAAGTGTGGACAGCCTCACTGAACCTCTGCCACTAGAAAGACAGCCTAGGAGAGGCTTTCTTGCACCACACATTCCTGCCAATGGCAACACCTTTCATGTCAGTCACTTTTGCATACTTCTCCCCTCCCCTGCAGTCTCACAGGGCTTCTTTTTGTGCTAGCTTTTGCTGAGCTTCAGACAGACATCCATGAGCTGACCAGTGACCTGGATGGCGCCGGGATTCCCTTCCTGGACTACAGGACCTACACCATGAGGGTGCTCTTCCCAGGAATTGAAGACCACCCTGTGCTCCGGGACCTTGAGGTGAGAAGTGGTAGCCCCTGCTGGTGTCAGAGCAGGGCAGTGTGCTGGCAGTCTGCAAGTCTGGTCCCTCATTTGGAGGTGAGAAAGCTGAGACTAGGAATAGAACATACCATAGGTGAGGTCCCCCCCTTATGGGTACAAGCCAGTTCTTCTGAAGGCAGAGCCCAGCCAGGGAACATCAGAGTAGACATGAGAGTAGTAGCCCTTCAGGTCACAGAATCCTTTAAGAGTTGAATGGGCTTTAAGAACTCTGTCTCCTGTAAAAGTTTACCTGTGCACAGAAACAAAAGATGCAGGGAGTTTATAGACCCTTGTTTAAGAAGCCATGTTACAAAGGATCTTACTATTCAGTTGTTGTTCAGTAGATATAGAAGGGACTTTACCACTTGGTGCCTAGTTGGGAAAGATAAGCAATGTGCAGGGAAAGGAGGTGGAAATGTGAATGATAAAACCCAACAGTCTTTCTAGCAGCAGGGACCTCATGTTCTCAGCATTTTATCCCTCTTACTGTCTAGCATGGTATCTGGCTTATGCATATATTCATATCATGCCTTGTTCTGAAGGGGCTTTAGAATGGCTTATAAAGATAAATACCAGAAAGAAGTGAAAAATATAAATGAGGAAACTGGAGCAAATGATAATCCTCAGAGATGATCAGTATTAGTTGACTGTTACTAAAATTCCCACATGGCTTTAAGCACTTTGCATAAATTCATTCAGGGACTCTCTGAGTTAGTGAGCCCATTTTATAGGTGATAGAACTAAGGGGACAGAGAAGTTCAGTGGTGATCTGGAGCTACACATCTGCTGGGGACCGACCAAAGAGTGGAGCCTAGGCAGTGGAACTCCAGCTTGTACCATTCATGGTTCTGTGTCCTTGTCACAGGGGATAAGAAATCAATAGCCATAATCAATAGTCATAGTTGATAGAAAATGAACTTCAAGATGGACTTGGTCCATAAACCAAAACCAGATCCATTGCTCGGGGTCACGTGGAATTGCAAGTACTGATGCCCAAGGGGATCTGCTCATGTGATTTCTGTGGGATGCAGGAGGTTCAGCAGCATACCCGGAGGTCTACAGCATATGGGGGCACACATCTGCCTCCATACCTACTTGTTGAAGGAAGTATGTATGTTTCTATAGTGAGGCATGAGCTGGAGAGACTCCCTTTAGCTCCTCAGCTGACAGATGCCAATTCTAGAGGCTGTAGGCAATGGTCTATTACTGTACTAGTTATGAACATTTTCTCTGTCTATGTGTATGCATGTGTCTATACATGGATCACATGTACATAAAAGTACAGTGTGTCTCATAACACTTCAATCTACTCATTGCCTTCGTCCAACTCTGAGTTTATGTTTCTTTCCCTTTTCCACCTGTATCCTTCTGCTTATTACCTTCTCCAGCCTCATCTTTATCTGCATCAAAATAACAGGCTTCTTAGGCCATTGAAGAATCTACAGGTTCCTGGTTAAAGTGACACTTGGGAGTGATAAAAAGGTGTGTGTGCATGTGTCTGGATGCATAGAGACTGCCCTTCCTTATTTATCTGCACTTCTAGTTTCCTGTAGAATGCCTGCCACAGAGTGTGCAGGAAATGGCGAGTGACTGAACAAATATCTGTGTGTCTGTTGCATCAGGATGGAAACAGCAGTCTTAAGAAGGGGAATTATGCCCCTTGGTGAGAGGGGATAGAGAATAATTTGAGAATTCCTCTAGAATGGATACATAAAGTTATTGTCTCTTTTCATAAGTTCAAAACTCCAAATTGTAGGATGTTTCTTTTGAGGATGTAATCTTTACATTAGATTTTCTAAGACCTTGTCAAAGGCAGACTTTTTAAATCAGCCTGGATATTTTGGGGTAGTTGGAGGATGCTCACCTCTCATACATGCTGGCACAATCATGGACACACACACTGTTCATCCAGACAATTCCTATGGTTCACAGTATAAATCCTACCACCTCTTATCACTTGGTCCATTTAGCTTCTTGCTTTCCTACATTCGCTTGCCTCCCATAGGTTCCCAGCTCTCAAATCTGGCAGTGAGGTTAATAGGACTCATTCTCCCACCAGACCTCATGGGTGGTTGTGCAGGTGGACACTGAGCTGCTCCAGTGGGCCATTCACAGGCAGCACACCTGAAGTAATAGTTCACTGTACAACCTGCCTCACTGTGCATGACAGCCCTGAACACCCAGGACCAGAATCCAAGTGATTCCTTCTCATTACCATTCTGCACTAGAGCAAGCTCCTGGCTAGAGGCTGCCTGGATTTCTATTACTGTCCTTCTCCAGGCCTTCTATCCAAGACCAGTTTTCCAAGAGAAGTAATATGAGTATGACTACTGTATAACTCCTAGCGGTTACTTAGCATGATGCATAGCCCAGTGAGGAAGAAATTTGGTCATCTTAAAGTCCCTCAACCCTGACCAGGGTCCTGAACAGAGCTGGCACCATGTCAGTTTTCCTGTTCTGGCTGGCCTCTCTTGCTTTATTCTCCAACAGCTGCAGGGGCATCTAGGACTTCAGTGTGAATGACACACACTCTTCTTTCTGCTCAGAAAGTTCCAGAGTCCGTGGTCAGGACAGTCTCTGATTCATTGTGTCCTCACTGCATAGAGACACCGCTTACCCTAATGAGTTAGATGCACTCCTAGAGGATGCCCCATCGGGACTCCCCCACTCACCACCACCAGGATAGCATGTTGGGTGAGCAGCCCTCGGAGGACTGTGGAAGGACTCTGGGATGCAGGGCTGTTGGTTCTGCTGATCACCTGGCTGTAAAGTGTGACCTGGAATAATGTAATGTATTCCTCCCCAGATGTTGTTTTAGGGGTCAGTTCCTACCTCAGCCCCAACCCCAGAACATTCCTACTTTCCACCCTGTACACAACACCACGTCCTATTGTGGCCTTATGCCTTAGCTGGCACCTTCCAATCTTCCCTCAAACATGAGTAGCCTCTATTTTCTCTGCCTTTGGGAATAAGGGGAAACTCTGATTACAGCCTCCTGCTCACAAGGGTGTAAACACTCCACTTGACTAGTTTCCCTGACTATGGAGCCCACAGTGGGCTAATTATTGGGCACAGACTCTCAGTCCAACCAATCACATGCCTTTTTAAATAAATGGTAAAATATACATGATTAAATGTTTACCGTTTCAATCATTTTTAAGTGTGCAGTTCAGGGGAGTCAAGTTCATTTATTTTGCTGTGCTACCATCACCACCATGCACACCCAGCGCTTTTTCATTTTAACCAACAAACTGTACCATTCGACAGTAACTCCCCGTTTACTCTGCCACCATCCTAGTTTCTACTTCTATGAATTTGACACTCTAGGGACTTCGTGTAAGTGAAGAAAACAGAGCTTGTCCTTTTTTGTCTGGCTTATTTTACTTGCCATAATATTTTTCAAGGTCCATCCCTGCTGTAGGACCAGTCAAAAGCTCCTTCCTTTTTAAGGCTGAAAAGATTGAGTTGCATGTAAGGACCACATTTTGTTTATCCATTCATTTGTGAGTGGATGTTTGATAGGCTTCCAGTATGGGGATCTTGTAAATATGGGTGTGCAAGTAGCTGTTCCAGCTTCTGCCTCCAGTTTGCTTAGGTGTAAACGCAGAACAGTATCTTCATTTCCAACAAACTCACTAGTTAACTATTTCAGACACAAATCAACTTCTATGGCTATGCCCACTCTAGCCTGGGACTCCATAACATCCAGGGATCATATATGGATATCATATAAGAGTTTGTTTGTTTCCAGCCTGGTTTTGCCCCCAGAAGCATTCTGTCCTCTCAGTATACTGAGCATGGAAACTTTCCAAGGGAATTCAGTGATCAATCTAAAACAGTGTTTCCCAGGCCTTGCAGCTCCCGTGACTGCTGCCCCTTGGAAAAGTGAAAAGAGAGGCATCCTCTTATTTCAAGCCACCCTTACTTCACCAAGTCCCATCTCTCAGGGTTCACTGGCTAAGTCCAGTCATTTGGGGAAGTGGCTTCCCAGGGCCTAGTCATACACCAGTTCTTTCAAAGCAAGAAGCAGACACTCAAATACTCCCAATTTCAATCCATTGCCAGTTCCTAAATTCTAGACTGTTGAATTACAGTTAAAATTTACTATGCAGTTTTATACTCACAGACTTCAGCTAGAGCAGAGAACCATTTAGTAATGAAAGAAAGTCTTGTTGCAGCATAGCATTGGCCTGGGGGAGGGGGCAGGCTGCAAAGGAGAATTGATTCTGACACTCATGACTAAGATGTTTACTTCTGTCTCCTCCTGCCATAACATGGGGTGAAAATGTCTGTTTTCTGCACCCCAAGACAGAAAGTTGTGTGCATTAGATATGGTGGGAACTCCTGGGCACCAGGGACTTATGAAGAGAGTCAGTGGAGTCGGAGAGGCAGGTAATAAGCCAGTGCTATTTCAGTGCGCACAGTATGTGCCAAGCACTTTACATACATTATCTTATTTAATGCTCGTAAAACATTATGACATAGGCACTCATATTCCTGCTTTAAAGATGAGGCAGTAGACCCCAGAGTGATGGAGTTTTTCTCTGTGGTATCTGGCTAAGGATGCTCTTTCCTGTAGATAACTGTGCTAAAACCCCCACACCCAAGGCCCCAGGCCCTTGTTGCCCTCCAGGCAAATATGTGTTGCACGAAGAAAGTGCAGCTGGGGCAGGAAATCCAGAGTGTGTCCTCAGGGCAATGGAGCCATCTAGTTGACTCTGTGTCCTCTGCTCAGACCCATAGTGCCGAGCCTACCTGTGGCCTGCAGCCTTTGACAGCAGCCTGAGCTGCTGAGAGGCCTTGATGGGAAGGAAGGCTGCAGGAAGAAGCTAGAGTTGATTTTTCAGTAGCTTCTGAGCCAAGGGATAGCACTGGACTGGGTGACAGGTGGGGAGGATAGCTACATGTTCAGGGGCTAGACAAGCCCAGAACTGGCCATCAGCAGCTGGATGGCCTTGGGATAAGTTTGGGAGCTCTCTGAGAGACTGTTACCTTGCAAAGTCCTTAGAAGACCTCATTGGAATAATATACACAATGTGTCCAGCGCTGTGTGCTACACATGGTAAGTGCCTGGTAAATAGCTGTATCTATTACTATTTGTACAAGTCATAGATGCTATTTGGAGTGTGTTAAAGAGCAGACAGTCAAATGTGGCTATATGTGTGAAGGGTGACCACATACATGGCAGGGAGGTCAGTGGGAGTCATAAAGATGGCAGATCAAGGTGAAGGTGCCACATGTGCCTTGCTAACCCTTTATCAGCTTCCAAGGAACAGAGAACTGACAGCCAGGCAGGAGGCGAGCAGAGGCTGGGTTCATCTTGGGGAGTGAGGGACTCACAGGTTGGGGAGGGGCTGTGTCATGGATTCCTTGGATGGCATTGCTGTGCGCTCTTACCTGTGGGCAAGTTCCCATCTGTCTCCTGGGAACTGGCCTTCCAAATATGAATACTGCAGCAAGAAAAATGAAAACAGCCCTGATTTGATAGCCTGTGTGTTTTCTACCAACTCCTAGACCCATGGGAGCTGCCGATGCCAGGCAACCAGAATACTCTGGGAGGCTTTTCTCTGCAGAAGCAGGCAGCCAGTGGTGCCCACTCCAGGAGGGCATGTGACTGGGCTAGTCTCCAAGGGCGGGGCCTGGGGCTGCCTCACACCTGCCTTCTACTTGCACCTTGGCCCAAGCCTGGGACATAGCAGGGCTCTGTCATGAGTGATATGAATGTTTCTGCCACCTTCTGTGACCTCAGGTAGACAGGTTTTCTCTGGCCTGTAGAGCAGGGTAAAACAGCTGTCATCAGTGACTCACCTTGGTGGCAGGCTGCACATGCAAGCTTTTCACACACTGTCTCTTCATCCACACAACAGTCCCAGGTGGTGGTAAGGCATGGTGCAGTCTCTGAAAGAGGATCCCTGAAAACACAATGTTAGAGTCAGGGACTTCAGAGACTGCTGGCCTCCATCTTCCCCTTTTCTGAGGTGAATAAATGTGTGTACCCAGAGAAGTAAAGGCACTTGCCCAAAGTTATACAGCATAGTGTGACCAGGACTATGTGGAACACCAAAATCTTGACTCAAGCCACCTACCTGTCGCCAGGATCCTTGGAACCAGAGAGGGGTGGGCACTGGGTTAGCCTGCTGGGCACAGGCCCCTCATCATCCCTCATCATAAGAGAGGAGCTCAGGCTCTGCAGTCTGGTAGAGGAGGATTCAATCCCAGGATTGCTGCTTAAAAACTTTGGATTTTTCACTTGGCGTCTCAGCTGGCCCTTCTCTGCACTGCAGGTAATGACCCGTCTCATGGGCTGTGATGAAGGCCAAACTGAAAGGGACTTGATGGCATTGTTCAGGTGATTGCAGTTGTAGCAGTGGGTGAGAGGTGGAGTGACAGGGTCAATAGTATAGGCATAGCCATCCTGTAGGAAGTTACTGGGTTGAAGTTGGTATCAGGAACCCTGATCTCTCCCACAGGTTCCAGGGTACCGGCAGGAGCGCGTGGAGAAAGGCCTGAAGCTCTTCGCCCAGCTCATCAATAACAAAGTGTTCCTGCTGTCCTTCATCCGCACGCTCGAGTCCCAGCGCAGCTTCTCTATGCGGGACCGTGGCAATGTGGCCTCCCTCATTATGACAGTATTGCAGAGCAAGCTGGAGTATGCAACCGATGTGCTAAAGCAGCTGCTGGCCGATCTCATTGACAAGAACCTGGAGAGCAAGAACCACCCCAAGTTGCTGCTCAGGAGGTGAGGGTGTGGCGCTGAGGCTGCTGGCAGGGGTCAGAGCACTTCTGCCCCTGGCCATCTGTAGCCTAGCTCATGGGGCTTTCCAGGGAGACCAGGCAGGCTGCAAGAAGATCAGCTATGCTCCCTAAGGGCAAGACACTGACATGTGAGGCTAGGCTTTATCCTGTCCCTCCTAGAAGGTGCTGGCCACCATATGCCTGTAACTCAACCCTGGTCCTCAGTTCATGCTGTTTCTTTCCCCTTGCATTCCATTCTGTCCTCTCTGCCCTTTTACTCCCTGAATTTTGATCCTTTCTATTGAAATTCTTTTCTCAAAAAAATCTTCAGAGTTCATTTTGACCATCTCTAGCCATCTCAAAGTTGGAACTGGAAATAGAGAGATCCCATGGCCTCCTGCTGGCTATAGAACAGTAGCAGAAGCAACATCCAGGAGATGGTTAGAGGCTCAGGTCCCTTCCATCCCATTGACTCAGAATGTGCATTTTAATGAGGACCCCAGTGACTTGGGTATACCTGTGCATTAAAGTTTGGGAAGTCCTGAGTGAAAGCTTTTTTGACATCTTACCAATGCAGCCCAACAAGTATTTCCTGCTGCAGGCTCTGAGTGAGTCCAGGTCCATAGTTGTACATAAATATTTGCCTTCTACTGTTAGAATCTGCAGGGTCAGATATGAGCCCTTGACCATACCCTTTAGCTTCATCTTATTGGAAATGGAGGTGCTCTTTCTCCATCTTGCTTCTCTTTGCTTTGAATTCCAGTATCTCTATCCTTGGCATATACGAAGTTAGACAACTCCAGTGTGAAGCTGTCAGATCCAGCCTCCTGCCTGAACCATGCATTGATTCTCCACCCCTGTCTGTCCCCTTGGCTTTGCCCTTGGTCTTTGGGGCTGAAGGCCAGCCTCAGTGGCCCCAGTTGGCCCACAGTGTAGATCTGGCTTTCAGAAGCATTTGCTTCAGGCTATTTCCTGGGGAGGGGGGGATATTTTCCCAAACAGCTGTGAAAGGTTGCCCTGCGGAGGAGCAATCATACAGCTTTGGAAACAGCAAGGTAGATCATTTTGATTTTTGTTTTGCTTTCACCACACAGCCACCCACTGGCATAATTCTAGGGTTGCCACTGCCTGCCAGAGCTCCCACTGACAATTTCCCGGCGTGGTCTCGCAGTCTCTGCAGACCCCGTCTTGTTTTCTCCTCTTGCTCCTTCTAATGCTCCTGCTCCTTCTGCCCTCCTCTGTTGCTTTCTTTTCTTCTTGCCCCTAACTGTCCTGTCCTTTCATTCTTTCTTTTTTCCTCCCAGTTTCACTTTGTGCCAGCGACTACCCAAATCACTTTGGATTTTAGTTATTCTTTTCTGGCAATTACAATTTTACATTCTACCCAAATTACCTGGAGTTTGTCTGGGCTAGTTTGTCTCTGGAGCAAGGCTTGCACTTAGCACAAGTTGGAATGTAATTCACTTTCTCCAAAAGGATGCAACCCAAACTGTAACCATGCTCTAAAAAGATGCAATCCAAACTATAACCAGCCTGCTGCATCTTCAGGTAAAATAGGTGACTACTTAAATCCAAATTCATCAAAGTTAATAAAATGAAAAACTTCAGTTCTTCAACACAGTGGCCTCCTTTCAGGTGCTTGTGTAGCCTCAGGTGGACGGCATTGATGGACAGCTTGGTCATTGTCACAAAGTGCTATGAAACTCACTGCACTGTGCTAAGACAGGCCCAGGCCCAGGATAAACCCACGGGTGGTTCGAGCCTGAAGCCCAATACCTGGCACTTTCCCCTTCAGCTTTGTGGGAAAACTCCCATTAACTTCCTGGGATGTAAGATCCATGAAATTTTCCTATGTGTTAGGATCTCCAGATTCGGCCTAAAAGCCATAGCATCAAGGTGGTGGTAGATCTTTGCTCTGCATACCCAGCCAGCAAGCTCTGACCAGCTCTCTGTCTTCTTCTATTCCTTCCCTTGGTGATTGTGACAGGACGGAGTCAGTGGCTGAGAAGATGCTGACCAACTGGTTCACCTTCCTCCTCTACAAGTTCCTCAAGGTAGGATAGGATATGGGCTTATGTCCAGTCCTGCCCTGGCCCCATCATCCTGGGCATGAGCCTTCATCCTCCTGGCCTGCTATATTTTGCTCCATGCCTCCCCCATGAGGACCTGGTGCTTCTCACCTCCAAGAAGTAGAGTCACTCCTTACCCTAATCTGTCTCAGAAGACAGAGCCTGGGATCAGTAATCAGTTTAGGAGCCACAATTCCACACAGCATGTGTCCTCCTGTGTGACAGACAGAGAGGCTCTGGCAGCTAGCTTCCTATTTTAAGTTGAAAACAACTCACCCATTAGTACCCCAAGTTCCTCTCTCCTCTCCAGCTTCAGACTTAGGAAAGCTGATAAAGGTCCAGGCAGGTCTGGAAGCTGCCTGTCTTGGCAGATGAGCTGAGGCTGGGCTGGGCAGAGGGGGTGCCACTGGGCTTCTAATTACTAACTTGTTTCCTAATGGGTTCATGCCACAGAAAACTGACCTCTGCCTCTTACTTGGGTCTTAGACAGGGCAAAAGAGCAGCAGATGGGAGCCCCACATAAGTAGTAGGAAAGGGTAGAGTAGGAGAAGATTCTGTGTCCAAAGAGCCAGGAGGATCAGCTATCTGAGCGGTGAGGAGTTGCAGAAGAGAGAACTGGGTCCCTGCACAAAACAGCAGGTAGGATCAGGAGGAAGGTTGGACCAGGGATGGGGGGAACAGGAATGGAGGGCAGGCTCTGCACATCTTCAGACCCAGAGCTTGGCCAGCATGTCTCTTCTTGCATCTAGGAGTGTGCTGGGGAACCCCTCTTCTCGCTGTTCTGTGCCATCAAACAGCAGATGGAGAAGGGGCCCATCGATGCCATCACAGGCGAGGCTCGCTACTCCCTGAGCGAGGACAAGCTCATCCGGCAGCAGATCGAGTACAAGACTCTGGTAAGCCGCCCTTGCTGCTTCTCACCAGATCCTGGCAAGGCAGGGCAGCCCTGCCTTGCAGAAAGGACAGCAGCAGTGCTGAAGAGCCATGTGTCTAGCTCTGTCCCCTGCAGTGGTCCTCTAGGCGCTACCCTTTTCCCTGTCCTCAAATTTCCTCTGGTCCACAGCATCAGGGCACCTGGTAAGTCTGCCATGTCTGGGCAGCACTGCAACTTGGGGCTGGTGTGGCCTTGGGCCAGGCACTGAATCATGAGGTTGGTGCCCCTTGGCAAGCAGGGCTGACTGTCGCTAGTGATCAACATCCCATCCACTCTCCCGACTGGAGAATCAACACTTTCCACAGCAGGTTCATGAAGATGGTATGTGGTAGGCAAGGAAGGCAACTACGGATTGTTCCTTGTGGTTCTGAAGCCCAGACTTACCCACCAGGCAAGGTTCACACAGGGCTGTGCTCAAGCCATGTCACTAGGAACATAGCAATGACCTGATGAAGGTCAGCCTTCCTCCTGAGAGCAGCAGTTGTCTTAGAAAACAGTGAAGGAACATAGCAATGGCCTGAGTGAAGGTCAGCCTTCCTCTTGAGAGCAGCAATTGTCTTAGGAAGCAGTGGAGCTTAGCATTTAAGAGCCCAGGATTGGAATCAAACCAGGACTTGATCCCTGACTCTGCCTCTGACGAGCTGGATGAGTTGGAACAGGTCTCTAATCTCTTTGAATTTGAGTTTCTTTATTTGCAAAAAGGGAATAATAATAATAGAGTCTATTGAAAAGAGGTCATCATAGCTGTCCAGTGAGGAGTTGAGAGCCCAGTGTAGATGTTCACTCCCACTTGCTCTCAGCCCCCCTGCTGGCCTCCGCCCTGTGAGGCTGCCCAACTGCCCGTAGGCTGCCGACTGCCTTTCCAGTCCAAGGGAGCTCACTTTTAGGCTTTTTTTGGCAAGAATTTTTTTAAACATCCTATAACACCTTTTTTCAAGAAAGTGGAGAGGAAGCAAAAGGAATAAGTAAGTAAGATAACAGCTGAGTGTTGGAGGTAACTTGCAGGTGGCACTCAAGAATGAGGGCAAGAGAGACAGCCAGGAAGTGAAGGGGACAGGGGACTGCTGGAATTAAAATGCAATTACCAGCAGGCCAGGTGGGACAGGGCTGGGAAGGATGGATTTTCAGACACTCCCACCCCCAGTAGCCCCAGCTGGGGGTGAACCCCAGGCCCATGGACAGCTAGAGAGATGATCCCCACCTCCTGGCTGGTGGGCTGTAACCATGATCCATCTACCCTACTCCCATCTTCATGGAGTGCTGGGAATCCCAGCAGAATTTGGGCAGATTCACAGAGACTGCCTCCCTGCAGGGATTCAAAGGCACCCCAGCTTCCTCAGTTACTGTCTGCTCTGGAGGACAGTTAGAGTCTCCCATTAAAATGGAAAATGGAGGAAAAACTCTTCCAAAAATAGACCCGAATGGATTTCTTAATGAAAAAGAGGTACCTTTAAATGTCTCCTGCCCCATCCCCCTCCAGTCCTTTTCTTTGCCTCCTCTCAGCTCCCTGATACTGAATGCAACACAGTGAGTTGTGATAATGCTGTCACCAAATTGCAGCAGCCTTTATTCCAAAGGCCAGAAGATTGCTAGTGCACCCAGCTGGTTCCAGGTGACTCACTTAAAGAGAATACAAGGAAACTGGGGTGGGTCAGGGCCGCGCATCCATAAGGGTGCCAGCACTGGGCAGGGAGCAAAAGGTGAAGATGTCATGAAGGTTTTCCTTGGAGATGACACCATGGAGGAATACTGAGTAGTCACCTCTAGGCCTGGGCAAGGTTCCCCCACTGACTGTGAAGAGGGAGAGAAGGAGGCATGGGCATCGTGGCAGGCAGAGCAGCAGAGTAAAGGTGGGAGGGTCAGATGCAAAAGTGGGCCATGGTGGGCTTCTGCCGTGGCTGGAGGAGCCCAGAGCTCTTTTAGGCTAGCCAACAGTGACCTTGTCCTGGGCAGGACCGATAACCATAGAGGGGCTCTGAGAGGCTCAGAGGCACACTGAGTGTAACTCGTAAGTGCTGAGGGATTAATTAGATCTATGCTAGAATTCAAACTAGCAAGGACTAAGGTCCTGTTGAGGGGAGTGTACCAGGACCTTGGGCATTCACACCTGGGAGCCATCGAGGTGTAGACCAAGATGGCCATCCAGGAGGCCTCGAAGCATGCCAGAGTGCTAGATGGCGTCTGGGAGCCCAGTAGCTGGTTAGATGCCCACCTAGAAGGCTGCTAGAAGACAAAATCTTAGCCCTGCCTCAGGTGTCCTAGGTCAGAGTCCGTGGTTCCATCCATGTAAGGGGTGCTTCCCTAGCAGAGAAAGCAGCAGGCAGTTTGTTCAGAAAGTTGCCAAGAAGCAAGATAAGGAGGGAACTCCTGGGTTATTTGTGGTATGGCCCTTAGCCAAGGACACTGTCCTGGGGCCACTGCTTCCCCTCCTGTCCTGAAGCATACTGTCGAGCTGTTCCCATGAGGCCACCTTGAACTGCTGGGGCAGTCGAAGTGCCAGAAGTTCGACCTCAGGTGGCAGGTCATGGTGTCTCAAGGGAGAAAACCCAGATAAACTGCACTGCTGCCCTGGGAAGGCTGAACCATCCCCCACCATCTCAGAGGACAGGATAGCAGAACAACACAGCAATAGGAAGAAGGGTCAAGTTGTGCGTGGCTACTGAGGAGGAGGAAGGTGCTGGAATGCTTCTGGATGGATGGCCGTGACTAGCAGGAGGCACATGTGAAAGTGTAGTCCAGAGACCCTGCCACAGCATTTTCAGTTTAGGGCATTTCTAGGGTAAGCGCTTGGTTTTATAGATTTAGGGTAATGGTTTTCCTCTTAACACAATAAGCATGCCGTCCCTTTGAACTCTAGCAGGCTACTTGCTAATGAAAGCCAGGTGTCTGGGACCAGGTCTTGATTATCACCATGTGGGCTGGGAGGGGGCTGCTGTCTGGTTCTGCACACCAGATGGGGCCATGGGGAAATTGCTGTGGAGCGGGTGAGAGGGAAAGGGAGACGGGAGGCACGCAGAGGTCTCAGGCTCCAGAGGGAGAGCCTGGGCCCAGGATGGCAGGGCCATCTGGCAGCAGTCCCCAGGTTGGGGAGGCTTCTCTGCCTGGCTCTTGTGCCCCCACTCATTCCTGTACCTCATAGACCTGTGTTGGTCACCGGCATCCCCCAGCAGCCCCAAAGAGCCCAACATGAGAACAGCATGGAGGAAAAGTCTTGATGTTCCTAAAAAAAAAAAAAAATGGTGACCTGGAATTTTAACTAATTTTTCTGCTTTGTTTGCAAAAGAGAAATAGAGGCTGCAAGCCAGGCAATGACCTGGTCCCCTGGAACTCTAACCATGACTTTAGGTTCAGAGCCAGAAAGGCATCTCAGGTGGCATCAACCTGCAATTTTTTAAGCGGCATCTTTTTATGTCTAAAGAATATGGTTTCTCCAGCCTTCTCTCAGCCCCAGCTTCTCACAATCAGCTTTTAAATCTTTTGAAACAGGAGCCCAATTTCCTTTGGTACTGAACACGGAGTGTCACAGGGGACCAAGTGATGCACAGGGGTGGGGTGGGGACTCCGAGGTGGGTGAGGGTGTGCATGTGCTGTGGAGCTGGTGTGCCCTGCATGTATGCATGCATGTTTGACACAGTGTGTGTATGTGTGTGTGTGTGTGTGTGTGTGTGTGTGTGCCGCATCAAAGCCAGTCTGTTGCAGATTCCCTCATTGTCATCCTATGCTCAGACTCTGTTCCTTTTGAAAATCATGATTTTAAGATGTTTGTCCTGATGGGAGTTAAGTATGTAGTTTGGATTTGTCTGGATAGGAGAGGGCAATGGGCCTGGTGGGGACACAGGTGAGCTGGACTCACCCCAATCCTCCCCAGTCATCACTGGAAAGGAGGAACCATTCTTCTTGTTCTTGCTACCTTCATCCATGTGACCTCTGCTCTGAACCCACAGGTCCTGAGCTGTGTCAGCCCAGACAATGCCAACAACCCTGAGATCCCTGTGAAGATTCTCAACTGTGACACCATCACTCAGGTCAAGGAGAAGATTCTGGATGCAATCTTCAAGAATGTGCCCTGCTCCCACAGGCCCAAGGCTGCAGACATGGACCTTGGTTAGTAGGTTGCCCCACAGCAGGTTCTGAGCACCTCCTACCCTCCCAGGGCTGCAGTAGGAAGAGCTGGGTTCCGGGAATACAAGGGGGAGACCCCCAGGATCCCATGGGCTTTACTATTATGGCCTGCTTGGCATTAGCCAGGGCTGGTCATAGCAGTGATCAGAAAAGGGAGCCACAGGTCACTTGACAGTCTAGCGGTCATCTGGCCTGGAGGTGATACCTCTGGGGTCTTCTAAGTGACTAAGGGCTGGGAGTAGATATGTCATATCTGAGTGAAGGGACTTAAAGGCAAAACCTGCCAATCTGAGTCCCTGTGGTTGAGATCCTGCCACTACCTTTGTTGTTCCCCAGGCTCATCCCCTCTCCTCTGTTCTGTGCCTGTAATTTTTGCTGAATATCTACAGCTTGAGAGATCTGGGTCAGCCATAGAGAATGGAGAGAAAGGATAGAGAAAAATGAGATATGACAGCCTGCTGGGGAGCAGGATGACATTGTATTTGAATGTTCCCTGAATAGATCGCATAGCCTATATAAACAAGGGCATGCCACTTAGGGCCAGCTGCACTTAAATCCAGTTTTGGTCTGCCTGAGCATGTGCAGGATGTTATCCAGGGGCAACCCTCCCAGGGAGCCCCAGGCTCTGAAGAGGTGGATAGAAGAGAGGCAGTGCCAACATTGTGGGAACCTGCATTTATTCCTGCTGCCATCGAGTCCTAGCTGTGTGACCTTGGCCTCGTTATTTAACCTTTCTGTGCCTTCATTTCTTTGATATATAAAGTAGAGATTGTAATAGTAACTCCTTTGTAGTAGAAGTCTGGTAGGGTGATGTGTGTAAAGGCCTTTTTCTGCAGTCTCTGGTGCATAATACACATTTGGTAAGTACCGCCTGCTATTACTGGTTCTGTGAGTAAAGCTGGGCAGGACACTGCATGTACCTGTTTGTTGATGCTGGACATGAGAGATGGGCATTGATTCCTGGTAATCAATGGGGGACTGGGGCTCTAGTTATCTCAGAGCCATGCATCTGGCCCCTAAGCTGGCTTGAGCTAAGCCCTCCAAGACAGATGGGCATGTGTTTTTTGCTAAAATCCAGAAGGAACTTTCACCTTCTACCCCCAGCTGCTCCACTTCCCTGATTCCCTGCTCTGCTCTGGGCTGGGTGTGTGTTGCCCTCTGCCCTGTGATGCCGAGAGAGAGGAAGTTGGATGAGCAGATATCTCCCTCCACTTTGGAAATGTTTTGAACATGCTGCTTCTGGGAAATGGAGGAAGCAACATGAGATGGGTGGGTGGTGGTGGATGTGTCCATTGGTCCAGGCTAACAACGTGAGGGGAAGTTACCAGAAAGTCTTGTGTTCCTTTCCCCCAGAGGATCCAAAGGTGCTCCTTAGTAGGTTGTCCAGGAATAACTGAGCAGGTTAACTGGGCAGCACCCAGTTACAAACATTCCTTCTGTTTGCTTCGTTGGTGGGGCCCAGGGCCAGGGCACACTCAGCTCCTCAGTGTCCTTCTCTGCAAAGTGGGTGGGAGGACTCCCCTGACAAGGGCTGGGAGGAAGAGGTGTTAGAAGACTAATCATCTACATGGGACAGTGAGTTTGCAGAGGTTGTTCTGGGTGCCGGTACACAGAAGGAGCCCCTAAGTGTGCAGGCATGTGGAAGGGGGTACTCTGTTCTTAGAATGGGATCACTTTCATGGGGCAAGCAGTGGATGGTTCTGTGAGCCTTCTCTTACAGAACTGAGCTCAGTGGTCACTTGGGAACAGCATCTATGCCATTCAAGGGTGGTGAACAGCTGTAGGAGCTTAAACACTTGATGGAGCTCAGGAAGGATTTGAAGCAACATTCTTCAGCATCCACTCAATCTAGAACTAAGAGGGTTCATTCTGTGAAAGTGAACTCAGGGAGCAGCCTTGCTGTATCTGTGGGTTTCCTGAAGAGAAACCATATTATGTCTGGTGGCTGCTGCTCAGGACCAGTTCTCCCCATCCTCGGAACCCCCTAATCTGAGAATGGGAAGAGAAGAGCTGTTTATTAGCTTAGAAAATTTCTCCTTTCATCTTCCTTGCCTGGAAAAGGCTGGGTAGGAGTGGAGGCAGAGACAGCTGAGCTCTGACCCAGGAGCAAACTGGAACACTGGGAAGGAGGAGGTACCCAGACAGGGCCACCTTTGACAGAAAGGTCAAAGCCAGGCCAGGCAGGCAGAGCACTGAGATGCAATTCAAGCCCAGCAAAGTGAGGCTTTGATGGAGATACACCTCACCCTGCAGCCATAGTTGTGGCCATCTAAGGGGCCATTTCCAACGACACCACACTCACCCAGAAGCTCAGGTTCCCAGGAACACAGTGATGCTCCCTGTCTCACTACACATGCTCCTGGGCCACCCCGGTAGTGCCAGCCGATGAAGAAGAGAAGCCAAAGAGGAGGGGTCTTAGCAATTTGAGCCCCACAGTGGAAGAGCTTGGGCTTCAGGCTTCCCTCTGCAAGGACCTCCTGCTCCATCTGTGGGGGCTCTTCTCACAAGTTTCCTGCTTTTTCCCACAAAGCCAGAGCTGAGAGCTGCCCTTCAAGCCTGGAACTTCCTTCTGTCCTAAACCAAGTTGCATAACAAGGAAAACAAAGTCCCCTCAGAGACTGCACTGCCCCTTCCACACACTGTCTGCTTCTGACTCCTGCTGGGAGTGAGGCAAGGACAGCTGTCCCACCACATAAGTGGAAGCGCTTTGAAGGCCTGGAAGCAATCTATAAAGGAAGGTGTGATTCTTACCACAAATTATTGTACACCGCAGGCCCCCGGCACACAGGCACAGCACAGCCAGTCTGAACCCAGGCCCTGGGAAGAGGCAGGACAGCAGAGCACCGCACATAGCATCTCCCTTCCATGCCTCCTCTCCCCACAGCTGAGGGCCCTGGGCAGAGGCTGCCACCCCTCTCTTGTGTGCAGACCCTGCAAAGACAGGGTGGTCTGTAGCAAGTCAGCTCAGAAAGAAGCAGGCCCTAAGCTACCCCTGTCACAATTCCAAAGAAATCAAGTCTCAGCCCCCTGCCTTCCTGGCCTGGCTTTGACCCCTCCTGTCAAAGGTGGCCCTGCCTGGGCACCTCCTCCTTCTCAGTGCTCCAGTTTGCTCCTGGGTCAGAGCTCACCTGTGCCTGCCTCCACTCCTACCCAGCCTTCTCCAGGCAAGAAAAAACCACAAGGGTTCTGCAGGCGAATGGAACCAGCAGGTTATATATACGCCAGAGTCCCCAATTTTGTGGGTTGATTTACTGTTTTAACTTTATGATGGTAAGCATACCATACAACTATTTTGTGTCTGGCTTTCCGTGCAGTAGTTGATAAATTACACGAGCTAGTCAGTGTTTTAGTACAAAATAGGTTTTGTTTCAAATGGTTTTACTCAATGGTTGGCTACCATATGAGTTCTGAGTATATTTGTGGTAGGTTAGGCTAAGCTCTGATGCTCCTTAGGTTAGCTGAGAAATCTTATATTATCAATTTATAATGGGTTTATCAGACTGTAACTCCACCCTAAATTGCAGCTCTTTTGTATACATGTACATGTACATATGAATAGAGAAAGAGAGAGGAAAGGAGAGATTGCTTTTAAAGAGTATTTAAGATTTGGGCCATACATTATGGAGGATATCAAGTCCAAAGTCTGCAGGGTGCCCTGGCAGAGCGGACACCCAAGGAAGAGCAGAAGGTTCTGCTGGCAGAATTCCCTCTTGTTCAGGGATGATTAGTCTATTTTTCTGTGCAAGAATTCACCTCACTTGAGGCCACCTACATTATGGAGAATAATCTGCTTTACTCTAAAGCCACTGATTTAAATGTTAATATGCACAGATACCCTCAGAGGATAATCAAAAATCATGTTTGACCAAATATTTGGGCACCTTGGCCCAGCCAAGTTGACACCTAAGATACCACTGCAGGATCCACAGTGAAGGTCACTGTATTGCTGGAATCTCGGGAAGGAAAGGTGTTCACAGGCCAAAGAATGAACAAGGCTGGGTTTTCAAAGCACAGTGCCCAGGAGCACCACACTGAACAAATGTGCTATCCCTGCCGCAGGATTTCTGTCCCTTTCCACCTGCAGGTACCTGGGTACCTGTTTGCATCACTGACATCTTCAATAAGCATAGCCTAAGAGCCCCGCTATGGAAAACTCTGTGCCAGGAGTGGACTAGATATTTGTCATTTCTGAGCATAGTAGCAGAGGCAGACTATTGTTTTGTCTGAGCTGAGAGACTCTTTTGTCTCCTTTTACTCCCCAGAGGAAATCATGGGTGCCATCCTGCTTTCTTGCTCAGAGGCAGAATGTGCAGCTGAAAGGCACCATACCTGGGCCGGGTCACACTGCAGAGAGCTAGAGAGAACTCTCCTTCCGTACACAGGCTGTCTCCTCCATGGCCTCTTGTCTCCCTCTGCTACTGCCCATGACCTCCAGAGATTCCTCCAGTTTAATGCAAATACTCTATTAATGCCCCCGGAACTCTGCCACTCCCTCTCTGTCTTGCCACTCAGGTCGCACTGAAAGGATATATTTTTTCAAATAAGTAATTCCTGTATGCAATAAAAAGATACACTATCTTTCTGAGTGAAATATAAAGAGTTCACAGCAGCTGTCTCCCCCGTTTGCATTTTCCGCTGCACCTGATGGGAAGGACAGATAAAGATAATGGGATTTTTTTTCTTTTTTTATTTCACCTCCCTCTCTCCCTCGAAGGTGCAAGTGTAACAAATTGGATGGTGAGTGTGTCTGTCCTTTGTGCCTGGTGCTTGGAGTAGGGCATGGGGCTGCCAGACAGAAGCTGCTTCCACAGAGGTCAGAGCTAACTATTTTCTCTTGGTGTCATGCATATGAATACCAGGGTCACCTTTCCCCCTCCTCCTACCACCCTCTACGGCTTTAACTCTTCGTTAACCCAACACACTACCTTCAGTCCTGTGCTCCATAGTCAAGGATACCCATTGAGCTCTATCTAGTATCTCTCTTTAGTCGGTTTTGCCTTTTCCTCTCCAGACATCTCTAGAGAGCAACAAATACGTGGTTTACAAAGACCTGAAGGTGCCTTGAATGCTGATGATGTGCTTCTACTTAGGAAGTGTAGTGTCAAATGTCTTGATTTTAAGTAGCAAATATCACAATTCAATCATTTTATATTTGAGAACTTGCTTTATTCTTTTATTCATTTCTAAAAACTGGTTAGCTCTCAGCTCCTGGGTCAATCATCTGACCTTTTTTAGCAGCCTGTTGGACCCTTTAGTGGCCACCGCCACATCTTCTCTGATTCCTGCATGCTTCTCTGGTTGCTGGAAGCTAAAAGGGTCAGGACGAGGCAAGGTGTCTCCTTGGGGCTCACCTACTGCCAGGTGTGTGTACATTCACTTGGTCCAGTGTGTTGGAGCAGAGAGGGCTGTTTGTAGAACTCAAGATGAACGTAGGTGGGGAAGAGCTGTGAAGTGGGCTCCATGTAGATTTTAAGGCTGATTTTCCCAGCTGCACCTACCCTGGGTGGCCTTCTTCCTCCCCTCCCTCCCTGCCTCCCCACTTCTGAATCCTGTGATGGGTCTAAGCAGAGATGGCCACAGGAAGACTGGAGTTGAGTGCAGGCTATTGCAAAGCCTGCTAGCCCCCAACTCAGGCAAAATGAAGCACGTGCACACATGTGAATACGCATGTGAGTACAGGTTTGAGATTTTTTAAAAAGGCAACATTTACTACCTCTCAGCTGCCCTACCCAAAGCAAGGGCTGGGCTAGGGGCACTGCAGGACTAGGCAGCCTTTAGGAAACCTCTGGATAGCCCTTGGCCCTGCAACTACATGCCAGCCTTCATGGCGATTGTGTACCCTGCCTGCCCACTGCAAAGCATGCCTATCTGTAGCATGAGCACCCCCTCGGTGAAATTGGATTTTGTAGAAATGGAATCACATCCTCAAGGAACACTGCCAGTGGCCTCCTAGAACACCAAGTATAAAGTTGGAGGAGGCAGCTATAGGTTTTGTCTTCATCAAAATATGCCCATGGTTCATGCTGAAGGCTGACCCCCTCTCTCCTTCGATTGATCTTCAGTGATGAACACCACATTAGGGTGTCTGATCTTCATCCACTGAGAATCTACTTTCCACTGACAACACTGCAGAGTTTCCTCTTAGGGGCCTTTGTGACTTGATGACCTGGTCCAGTACCTGACTCAAAGAAGCATCTCGGGAAGTGTCTATGGAACACTGGTCAGTGGACTGAGCATTGTCCTGGCATAGTGGCCTCTAGGTCTGCCCCTCTTGGCTGTCTTTCATTTTCCTAGTGGTAAAACTAGAAGAATGAGCCATCTAAGAGAGCGCTCACTTCTGCCAGTGTAAGCATATAGTGTTAGTTCTCTGTTTGGATCATTCTTTGTCCCAGGGCACTTAAGCAGCTTACAGTTCACCTAGTCCTCTGCTACCTGCCATATGCATAAGCATACAGGGGTGAGATCTTTTGAAGGCTTGAAAAATAGGCCTCCATCATCCAGACATCAGTCTCCTTTGTTCATTTATTTATTCATTTATGTAGTCACTTGCTTACTGAATATTTATTAAGTGCTTTCTCAGTCCAGTGCACTGAGCTGGCCCTGTTGGTAGGTGTATAGCAGCAGCATTTTGTACTTCAAGGACAATAGCTGCCCTGAAGAGACATGGCCATCCTTCGTCCTACTTCTTTGAATGGGGACAAGGAAGCAGACTGACACTCATTTCTTACATAATTACTGGACTGATTCAGAGCCAAGGCTGCTGAGTGTGGCTGTACTGCACAACTTTTAGAGTCATTGGGCAACATAGAAATCCTAATTGGGGTCCACAATCAAGTGACATTGCCCAGGCCATGTAACATGTTCAAAGCAGACTGAGAGGTACTAGGATTTCATCAGTAAAGGGTGCAAGTGTGGCTTCTGTACCAGCAGGCTGGTCTTTGGTTAGTACCTTCTCTATCTAGCCCTAAAAGCTCCATGGTCACATCCCTGGAAGAGACTCCTGGGAACTCAGTTGGTAGCCAACGGAAATGCAGATATTGATTACCTTCTATGAAATGCTCTGAAGTTGCCCTGTGCTGCCACTCTCCCCATGCAGCATGTGACTAAACCACGCACATTCACCTTGCATGCTGCAGAGACACACTGCTGTGTTTGTCCAGCCAGTCTGGTCTTCATCAGTGTCCACTGGCCAGCATGGAGGCATCGTTCTTCCTTTGCCCCGCCAGTCAACATACGTGCATGCAAACTTAAATTTAAACGGCAAAGTAAGAAACAATACAACACCATGACAGACAAACACACTGGCACCCAAGGGCTTTGGAGGCTTCAGATTTTCCCCCTGCCATCACCTTCATTGCCCCAGGTCCTAACTGCCATGAGCCATTTCAGCTGAGCCATCAACAAGACTTAAGAATGGACATTTCCCCAGAGACTTCCTGCTCCAACGAGCAAGTGTGTCACCCTGGTATCTTGATTCCTTTGACACTAAACTTGAAATCAGGTAGCAGGGAAGCCCTAGGACATTGAGCCTGGGGCATCTCTGCTGCTCATCAGGGCTAGCTGCCTCCTTTCTGGGCCTTTGGTCCATCTGTTCGATGGGGATGTCAGTACTGGTCATAGCATGCACCATGCAGGGGAGACTAGCACTTTCCATGCACAAATGTACATAGCTGTACACAGATGTGGTCAGCTGAAGACTAGCAGTTGGACCTTGGCAGGAGGGAAACTGAATATGTGTCTCTATGGAAAACTCCCTGGCTGGTCAGGCTACATCTAACCACACTCTGCACAAACCAGCACTGCTCGAGTGCCTCTGAATTGTTAGAAGTTTTCAGAAGCCCTGTGAGCAGTAAGCAGCATCTTGGCTGCCTGGAATCCAGATTGCTGTTTTGTTGGCCAGAACACATGTGTTTGAATTTAAGAGGCTGTTTTTTCTTTTGGGTGCATGCTCATGAGAACATTATATGGGTGTGTACACTTACACACACACGTGTGCATGCACAAGGGCTACCATACACATGTGTAATTTTAAGATTGGAATGTGAATTTCTCCACATGTGATTTGTACTGAGTTAACAGAGGGATCTGCGTGATGAGAAGCAGCCTCTTATTTCCCTACGTGTAGCCTATCAGCCCATGTGCTGGAGGTGTTTGGTCCCACGCGGAGTAAGTGCAGATAGATGGTAGCATGTACCTACAGCATTATAGCTGTGGTAGAAGACACAGCTGGTATTATCCACATCAGCTTTACGGATTTGGAGGTGCTTCTAGGTGAGAATGGTCCACATATTTTTACCTGGGCACTCTTCCAAGGGCAACCCACTCACCTGCCAGCTTTTGAGTACAGGCTACACCTGGAACAGGTGCAGGTGTACAGTAGATGAACCTGCAATCTTGACTTCCTGAGTTCCAGACTGTACAGTCAGGCATGTATGTAATGCTCAGTGAGGATATTGCCTCCTTCTCTGCCTCCTGTTTTTTCCTATTGTGTTGTAAGTGTTTAGTGTTAAGTGCCTCCTTCATCTAGCCAATGCATACTGAATGTCTGCTTCTTGCAGATGTGGCCACTTATAACATACAGGTGACAGAGGAGGATAGGTGATGTTATCCTCATTTTTGTCACATGGCTTATTGGGATTAGAACCACAACTGGAACTCTGAACCTCTCTGCATTATGAGAGTCTGAACCTATTCTCTTGGGAGCCTGTGCTGGCACTTAGATGTGTCTACGGATGTGTCCTTAAACCAGTGCTGTGTGGACACCTATATGTGGCCCTCAGGATCCCCCATGAGGGGCCCAAAGGCCTCCCTGAGACGCCACCACTCTCCCTGCAGAGTGGCGACAAGGGAGCGGGGCAAGGATGATCCTGCAAGATGAAGACATCACCACCAAAATTGAAAATGACTGGAAAAGATTAAACACCCTAGCCCATTACCAGGTAAGGTGGGTATGGAAGACAAGATCTTGCCTAGGAACTGGCCATTCCCCTGAAAGTCTTGGTCACTGATTATAAGGTCACCACAAGACTAGACAGCAAATCACAGCCCACTTTCTCATCAGCAGTTTGTGTTCTCTTGGTGACCCAAGGGAAAGTGATATCACCCAGCCAGTGAGCCCTGGCCTCTTTAGAGATAGGATGCTGTCATGCATAGTTTCCACAGGACTTGGATAGAGTTCCCAGGAGGAGACATTCCCTTAGAAGTTCCCTGGGCACTTACGGCTGAGTGACCTCCCAGGGAGCAAAGGAAGGGGCTAGCCTCCAAAACCCCCAAGCTCTCTAGCAAGGTGTTAACAGCCACTTTAGACCAAGCCTTTATTTCCTTGGCTGACAGAGTTTCTGTGCCCACACTCGTAGAAGCCTTTTTTCCCCCTCTAGGTTCCAGATGGCTCGGTTGTGGCCTTAGTGTCCAAGCAGGTGACAGCCTATAATGCAGTGAACAACTCCACAGTCTCCAGGACCTCAGCAAGTAAATATGGTAAGAGCTTTCCAGATGTCCCTGATAGATGCAGGTGCCCTGAGCGGTTGTTCTTATGAGCGCAGCTCAAAGTCATTGGACCCATGGGGCCAGGGTTGAGTTAAGTAGAGCTGGCTGACTAGCAGGGAGAAGAACCAGGCTGTGACCAAGGCACCTGGTTCTAGTCTGTAGTTCAAATGCATGAACAGGGCTTTCATTCATGAGTTAGAGAAGAGAATATAACCTTCATCAATATCTTCCAATCTATAAGACACTTTCCATTTTGTGAGTCTCAGTATCTCACATCATGTTCATAACAATCCAGTGAATTAAGTAATTATTATTTTCCCCTTATTATGTAGATTAGTAAATTATACCTCAGATGCACAGAGGCTAAGTGACTCTAAAGGTTGCGCCATTATTATGCAGTTGTATGAGGGGGGCAGGCCTGGATCTAAGGCTCTGCAGCTGAGGAGAAAGGGGTGAGAACATGGAATAGGGACCCCAAAGGAATCCCTGATCTGCCACCACCATTATGCTTCAGGGCCACCCACATGGGAACCTCATGAGCCTTGATGTTCTTGCCAAGAAAACAGGGATTGGAAAAATAACCAACTTTATAGATCCATTGTGGATCATAAATCCATGAACACATATAGAAAGGTGCCACACACAGTAGGAGCATCATCCTCATTTCACTGAGGCAGGACTGTCACCAATCAGTGGAGAGAAGTGTGCCAGGTCAGAAGGGAGGATGCAGGTGAGCAGTATGCAGGCGTGGCCTGAGCTGGTCAACATTTATTAAGGGAGACAGAGCTACCTGCTCTTGAGTGCGTACTTAATTGGCTACACAGAGCACATCCTGAGGCAGGATTTGAGAACTCATGCAAGGACACATGTAAGAGAAGTAGAAGCTTATATTTCCAAAATTGAATAATTAAGGGCTGACTTGATGCAAAGTACCAGAGGGAGGGTGAAGAAATCTGAGTGGGTGGAATTAGGTGCAAATAGTTTCCTGGAGTGGTGGGAAAGGCATCTGTGTTTCAGGCAATGTACTAAACGGAGGCAAAGAGATGGTGCCAGGCAGCAGCAGGAAGGATCAAACAGTAGTTCCCTTGGCAGGGAAAGGGGCGGGGGAAAGTTATCCAGTGTAGGGCTGTGTGGCCTCACCCATTTTGTGGTGTTCCTTCTATTGGCAGAAAACATGATCCGGTACACAGGCAGTCCAGATAGCCTCCGCTCTAGAACTCCCATGATCACTCCTGACCTGGAGAGTGGAGTCAAGATGTGGCACCTGGTGAAGAACCATGAACATGGGGACCAGAAAGAGGGTGACCGGGGGAGCAAGATGGTGTCTGAGATCTATTTGACTCGGCTACTGGCCACTAAGGTATTGAGCATGAGAGCAGGTGTCAGGAGTCTGGGGGGCACAGGAATGGTTGTCATCTATCCACAGAAATGCTGGAAAGCAAGACTCTTATCCACTCACAGCAGGTGTGCTGGTCACCCCAGCACTCTTCCCCAGGACAGAGCCTCAGATCCTGCTCAACCCCGGGCACATGCAAACCCCTCTAAGGTATTAGTGTTGGCACACAATCCTCCCTTCTCTGCACCATTTCTCATACACAGAGATGCCACCCACACCTACCACTGTCTCCACCATGCTGCATCACAGAATCACCTTTTCCCTGGGCATCCTATACCATCACCAGGTATGAGAGTTGACTTTCCAGGCACCATTTCTAATCCTGGTCCTGAGGACAGCTCCTGCCTGCAGTTTCACTCCTTCTCTTCTGAGACTCGGCCTGCTACATCTCTGCAGAGCCGGATGCATAATTGTTCATTAGCCCATGTGCATGAAGCCCACACAAAACCAGCAGATTGTGTTTGTCAGCTGGCTCTGACCAAGTGCGTGCTCATTAGCGTTCATGAAAAGTGTTAAAATGACACCACACGAGCACACGGAGTGGAGCCATGTGGCTGGCAGAGGGAGGCTGGCTCAGGCCAAGCCATCACTGTGCTATCTACTGTACCCGAGCTGAGGAAGTTTAAAGCTGTCAGAGGCAAATGAAAGGAGAAGATGTAACACATGGATTCATCCAGGGTCACCCAGGAAGAGGAGGCTACTCACCAGGTTTCCCTGTCCCCAACCCCAGGGCAGCTTTACAAATGCCTCATCAGAGCTGCCTGGTGCAGCCAAGTCTGAAAGTATCTCCTCCCCAGGGCACACTGCAGAAGTTTGTGGATGACCTCTTTGAGACCATCTTCAGCACAGCCCACCGTGGCTCTGCCTTGCCACTGGCCATCAAGTACATGTTTGACTTCCTGGATGAGCAGGCTGACAAGCACGGCATTCATGATCCCCACGTCCGCCACACTTGGAAGAGCAACTGGTGAGTGAAGGAGGTAGCATGTGTCATGAAGAGCTAGTGACCCTGTGCACCCAGCCCCAACTAGGACCCAAGCCTTCCATAGACACTGCCAGCCTCCATCTTCATCAGCAATGCCCTCCCCATTGCCTCCTACTGTGTTTCTGTGCTTATTTCCTCCTCCCTTTACCTCTGCTCAAATATGTGCATCTTTCTTCTCAGTCAGTGAACATTTATTGAACTAACTCGACAAGCAAAAAAATAATATGCCTATGTCACAGCCAGGCTTATATCCAGATACTCTTATATCCAGATACTGTACCTGATATCATGCTAGACATTAAAGAACCTAGACTAGTCAGCTGTTTGGACAGAAAGACAAATGCTATGTAGGAGTTTATTGGGTGCAATGGAACCACAGAGGGCAGAAATCTCATGGTAACTTGCTAGTGGGTTTTGAAACACATCCATGCGTCAAGGTCATTTCTGCTCTATTTTAAAAGCTGCTATCTTCCCTCTACCATGAATTCCCTTTCCAAGCACTGGCTAGGTAAGAACCTGCCTTGGAGGTTCTTTGTGTGCCTTGGAGACCCTAGGATTCTATAAGCACAGATGACACTTCTGGGTGTCTTCACCTCTATGGTCTCCTCTCTCTTCTAACATATAATACTCTTCTTCCACACATGCATAGTTGGTATTGCAGGTTGAAATTCCAAGGTCACAAATCAGTATTCTGCCTGTGGCACAGAGCCTTGTACTCTGGACATGGGCCCAATCAGTATTGATGGGATTCAGGACCAGGATGACCTCTTTTCGAGAGTTTCCCCTTGGGCAAAGCTGGCTGATTCTTAGGTCCATCCATTCCACAATCACTTCCCCATCACCTTTACTGGGTCCCAATTCTGGGTTGCTTTTTCTTGGATCATTTTTCCAAGGAAGAATGGGCCTGGTGCTTACTTCATGTTATTTCTAGTACCACCATGGCACCAAGGAACAGACAGGTGCCTTACCCCAGCCCTAGGCCCAGACCAGGACACATAAAATGCTAAAGTCAGGCTAGACTGTGGGAACTGGATTCCCTGGCAAATTAGTCAGCTTTCTCACCACTGAGACACAATACCTAACACCTACAAAGAAGAACTTTCACTTGCTTGTAGTTCATGGTCAGCTGGATCCAAGGCAGAGACATCATGGTAGAAGGGTATGGCATAGTAAATCTGCTTCATCCATGGGGACCAGGAAGGAGGGTCGAGAAACAGTGCCTGAGAGGAAGGGAGGGACTGGGGGCCAGATACAGACCACAAAGCTGTGCCTCCATGACCCAGACATACCTGGAAGTGTGCTCCACCAAACCCCAGGGTAGATGCCAAACCAGTCAAAATGGAACTCCACCCTGAGCACCATGCCTGGGGTACACTCTGGCTCCTCCCCTCCTTCACTTGGAGAAGAGTATGTTTTACATGGGGATGGAACACCAGAGCCAGATGGAGGTCTGGCCTGCACAGCTGAGGGATGAGGTTCTCACTCACTTTAACACTGAGGAACAAAGATCTCCCGTGGCAGAGTTTCTGCCATGAAATAGGACCCTTGGATTCTGCCTTCCTAGTGCAGCATTGTAGCAACATGGGGGAAGCCATGTCTTCCTAGTAATTTCTCCAATCTGGTCTATCCTGTGCCTGCTCTGGATAGGACAGTATTGGATCCCCCCAGTCTCCTTGGCATGCCTGCCACTGATCCAGAACATCAGGAGCTTCTAGAGTAGGAAGTGCTCTGTCCAGATGTCTCTTGGCCTTGCCCTTTTCAGATCATCCTATGTGCTCTCAGATGCCCACTACAGGAAGAGCAACTTCCTGGTGTCTACACCCTTTGTCTTCATCCTGTCACCCTTACTGTGTTCCCTCAAGGGAGCCACACTGTCCTGGGCTGAAGGCAGATCCTCCCTTTTGGCAGGCTCTTTCAAGTACTTGGTGTTTTTGTGTAGAATTCCAAGTCCAGCGGCAGTAAAGTCCATAAAGTAGGCATTAGCACCAGGTTCAAATTGTCCCTACAACAGACATTTCCCTGACTCCTCTGTTGCTACCCAGGCACAAGCAGTCAGGAATTAAGAGATCTGTATATTGACTCAGAGTTTATTGTTCCTGATTAAGAAGAGATTGTATCTTTAATCCTGGCCCAAGGTGTAATAGTGCTCCCACCTCCGTCACCACAGCTCCCTACCTTTTCTTTTAAATAAACCTCCTGCTCATTTAGCCTGAGTGGCTGCAATCAACCAGAGATTAGTGGCACCACTAATGTTAATAATATGCTAATATTTCATTAGGCAAGAGCCACAGTAGCGGTGCCATGATGGCCCTGTTTAATGTGCTTGTCATCTTAACTGACTGGCGGGGTGGGGGAAGAGAATAGGGCACAACTGGTGCAGCAAATGTGGACTTTGTGGACTCCGGCACCCCTTGCTCAGGGAGGCACATCTAGAATACCAGGAAGCTGTAGTCATGCGACTGTGGGCTGGGAAGCTGTGGGTCCGTCATGGAAGACTCTGAGCTCACTGACCGTGCTCTTCACAGAGAAGGCTGGGCAGCTACAGTGATGCTCCTTCCTTCATGTGTGGTGACTCTCTCAGCTGTCCCTGACAGCCCCAGAGTTCCTAACCTGGGTCCCCAACAATGAAGTCAATGTGACCATGTATCATCAGATCTCAGTGTACTTGCCAGCATCCTGCATAGCACTTGCTGTAGGAACCTAACCAACACTTGTTACAATAGTTGTTAGTTGATTGGCAATCTTGAATGTCAGGTCTTACTGTACTTTCAGTGTTTATTTTTTATACATACTGGCTTCTGGCAGGTGCAGTGACTAGAGAAACTGTACACTCCACATTGAAATGATATTCAAAGAGTTTATGTTCTAAGAAGGCAAGCCAAATGCATATATGTTTTAACTCTCACCAGTGGAGAGAACAGCCACCAAAACAACAGTAAAGCATCAGGGGACATGGCAGGAGGCATGGCGTGACTGCAGAGTTGGGGGGGCATGGATAAGTGCTCCTCAGCAACACCACCTCTTTCTTCCCTGCATTGTGGGAGGTTGACTGGAAGCCCAGAGCCAAAGAGGCCGAGGCAGGCTTCTCCCCATGCCTGGGACCCTCTTGCAAGTGACAGTGGCTTAGACTCCCAGACATAAGGCATTGCTGTCTCCTTTTTGTCTATCTCTATTTATGCTGATCCCCATCTGCTGTCCCCTGCCACTTCCTTCAGCTTTACCCAATTAAGGAATACCTATGTGTGTGTTTTTGTTTGCTTTTGTTGATTGCAGTAGTGAGAGTTGAACCTGGGGCCCCACACTGAGCTACATCCTCAATCTATTTTATTTTTTATTTTTTTGAAATAGGGTCTCAATAAGTTGCTAAAATCCCCAGGCTGAGTGCTAATTTGGGATCCTTTTGCCTCAGTTTCCCAGAGTGCTCCAATTGTACAAGTGCACCACCATACTTGGCTTATGCATGCTTTAAAATTCAGAAAAGTATCCCCTCAGTGAAAGCTTTGTAGACCCTGACCACTGGGTGGCTCAAAACCTTCCCAGGTCTTATCGTGAACCCCACTCTTCTCTATTTCTAGCACCACTAGCTTGTCAGACTTGTTGGCCTGTCTCCCCAACAAATCCACCACTATGCAGTTTCTTGAAGGCAGAGGATGCATGTTAACAATTGCATCCCCTGTCACGAACACAGCTCCCAGCAAGCAGTGGTGCTGCCTGGAAGTGGGGAAGAGAAGGGAGGAAGCACAAGAGGACAGATAAGGCCCAGATGCCTACTGATGAAAAATCACTGACCTCCTCCCATAGTACCTTCACCAGGCAGGAATGAGCCTGAGGGACCAGGCAGGGAGGGAGGGGTGACATTGGCCTAATTATCCACTAGGCAGCAGGGGATCAAATACAAACCCTAGAGTCCAGGTAGTTCCTTAAAGTTTGCCCACTGGGTGCTACATACCCAGCACGGTGGTCAGGGTGGAAGTGACAGAGGAAGAGGAAATGTGAAGGTCTACCACATAGCACACATCGTGACTACTTCTCATGCCAAAGGGAAGAGTCCCCAAGCCCTGCTTCCAGCTGGGTCCAAGGTCTCTCCAGGGCCTTCCAGTGAGGGAACTGATAAATGATTCCACCTTGCTGAGCTGTAGTTTTCTGGGAGGGTCAATAGGGCCCAGTACACTCCATCCACAAGCACCATGAGTCCCCACCATCTTACAGAACACTGGCAATGCCACAGCCCTTGCCCTATCATTCTTGACTGTCTTCCTTTCCTTCCATGCAGCCTGCCCCTTCGGTTTTGGGTCAACATGATCAAGAATCCACAGTTTGTGTTTGATATCCACAAGAACAGCATCACAGATGCCTGCCTCTCTGTAGTGGCTCAAACCTTCATGGATTCTTGCTCCACGTCAGAGCATCGATTGGGCAAGGATTCACCCTCTAACAAGCTACTCTATGCCAAGGACATCCCCAGCTACAAGAGCTGGGTGGAGAGGTGAGTGTGGCTAGAGCTGGAGGGGGGAGGGCACACCCACAATTCTGGATTGCAGAAACAGGGCCTCTCCCCTTCAAAGTGGATTTCGGCCTTGAGACAGCTCACTCACACTGGTCCTGCACTATCAAATCTCACACAACATCCACCCCACAAGGCTATGCCTGTGGCCAACTCTAGAGAAAGGCCAGCTCCAGGAGAGTCCTAAGGGACTTTCAGAGCATTGGTGTCTTCTGAAGAAGGGCTCACTAGCAGGCACAAGTCCCATAGGAGCAAGTCAAATCCAGGGTCCAGGCTGACTTTCCTTTCCTCACTTCACACCCAGCTGATAAGAACACTTGTTTGAAGTTCATTAATGTGGCTTAATTACATTCTTTACAATCAATGAGGCATCTCAGTGGAAGATCCTGGCACAGGTAGCAGTTGTTCACTAAGCTGTTATCAACAGGCTCATCAGCAAGCTCAGGTGTGGGGGCATAACTAGGGGGTTGCCTGGGCAGAGCTCGAGAGGGGAGCAAGAAGCATCAAGATAGCATCAACCACACCTCACAGAAAAGATGGAGCAGGAGGCAGCCAGGGTCCAGAACATGCTGCAAGGTCAGCCAGATTTCAGGACCCTTATCCATTAGGACTTCAAGCTGTCTGTGGCCATCAAGTTTTGCCCATGAAGAACTTCCCAAAGATGAGGCCACGTTGCTGACCCACCTGTGGGCTGTTGTGGGGCCACAGATGTCCACTAGCCCAATCCAGCTGCCTCCAGGCAAAAGCAGGAGAGAGGAGGCAGGGTGCTTAGTGTGGGCGTGGCCTCACATCAGGGAGAGGAGTGCCAACAGGCTCAGGAGAGCATGTTACCCAGCAGCTTCAGGAGAGAAGGTTAAAGGCTGTGCCTCAAGCATTCTACTCTCAGCCTTGCAGCCTGCTCTCACAGCCTTGTCCCTCACTCTCCTCTCCTCACACAGGCAGATTTCCTCAATATTCTCCTTGGAGAGAAAGACTAGACTCTTAGCACCCTGCCATGAGGCATGCCATGGTGAGAGAGAGAATGCTTGGCATCTGTCATTTCCAGTGGGGAAGGGTCCCTCCATCAAGGGATCAGTGGCAGCCTAGGCCACCATCTACTTCAGGGATCATAAAGGCTACCATGGAAGCGCTGGTGCTGTTTGCACAAAGCTAGCAGAGGCATGCATCTCCCTGGCCAGAGTTCATGGGAAGGTAGCATGAAGCAGCAGGAACCTTAACTTCTGATGACAGTTATGTATCAGCGGGAACTAGGTTTTCATCCCGGTCTGAGGCTCTGGTTGTCGATGGGTGGCAGAGCAGAAGAGTCTGGATGAAACCTGGACCTGCTTATTAGCAGGGCCTGAGAGCTGGCTGCTGGCTGAGAACAGTGTAGCTTCTTCTTTTCACCATTCACCAAGGTGACTTGTGAGGATAATGCTTGCCTTGGCAACCCTACCTTGCTTGGTAGGTATGGGATCTGTGCTAGGATGATGATACAAATCTCTTCTAAATGGCATGATTGGGAACCACCACTATACCCTCTGGTCTCCTGCCATAAAATGGAACATTGGCATTTATTGTGTTCTAGAAATAGTAGTAACAATGAATTGAATCTTTCGCTGGAACATATACTGGGATGTCATTAGCACCCAAAGGCCTGTGTATTGGGGTACTTGAGGAGGTGCTTTGGGTTTGAAAAGAGAAGGATGTTTTGGGAATGGGTCAAGGAAACAAAATGAAGCAGAACAAGGCAGTGATGGGAAAAGAGACAGTTGTGACAGGTGACATCTTCCTGAGCCAGGGGCAGCAGGTTCTCATCAGGCCCTTGAGCTGATCTAAGTCCTCATTCTTATTGACCATCTGGGCCATGTGTCATGGGCAAGGCTCTTGGCCAATCAAAATGCATCATGAGGCTGGGTTCCCAGGGCCACAAGAGTCTCTCTGTCCAGCTCCTCCCTTCAAAGAACAAGATTCATCTCCCTGCTTCTTCACCTCCCTGCAGACATGAGGACAGATAACTAGTCTCAAACCAGCAGGGTGATGGCTCAAGACAGAGCAGCCATCCTGGCCCTTGCCTTCCCAGAAATGTTCTGGTGGCAAATTGAGCTGTCATTCTGTTGTGGCCCCTTGGGCCATTTCTGCCAGTCCATCACTCAATTCCTGGGCACTGCAGGGGTCAGGTGGGAGTTGGGAAATACATGTGCTGCTGGGGTTCAAAGATCCTGGGTGCAGAGTGAGACTATCCAGGAACCTTTTCAGGATCTCTTCTACCTTGTGTCTTCTGATAAAGCCTAGAATTCTAGGAACTTCTAGGAACAACCTGTCACTGAGGTCCTGTCACCAACATATTCCTCTCCCCGAATGGGTACCAAGGTGTCTTCCCTCCCCCATCCTAGGTTTTCAGGCCACATTCTTTAGCCAGGCAGTAGCAGCACTGTGTGGGCTGGGCTGGCAGCCACAGGTCTCCTGGGTTTGCAATGCTCCCTGTCTTCATAATGTCCTCTTCTCTCTCTCTCGCTCTTTTTTTTTTTTTTTTTTTTTTTTTTTGCCATCTACAAGCTGGAAAATGTGTAGGAGAAGGTGAGAGAGAAGAGGCCATCGTCTGGGCACTGGGGCCTTTCGTTTTCTCATTAGGAAGCTGCACAGCTCCCCTCTGGCAGGGGAGTTGGGGTCTGGTGCATAAAATGTCAAATTGCAGAAATTAAAAATGTAAATGTTGGCATCTAATTAACCAGTTGACAGCAGTGCACAGCTGCAAGTGACAGTGACTGATTACCTTCTGCCAGTCTCTCTCTCCCAGCGGCTCCCAGCCTCCACCCCTCTCTTAGTTAACCCAGGGAGAGCCCAGGACACTGGGGAGGAGCAGTTGTTGGAGGGGCCTTCTGGGCCTGCTGGAGGAAGCCTGTGGCCTCAGGAAGACACACTAAAGCAACACAAATTGGGGCTGGACTTCTGTGTAGGAGCTGGGAGCAAAGTAGCCCCCTGAGACGAGACCCCTCTTCCTCCTGATCCTTCTCCAGCCAGCCTTCAACAGTATCTTGCTGCTGGCCTCCTGCTGCCAGAGCTGGAGAAGGCTCATCCTAGGGCTGGTGCAGAGGTCCAGTTGGGAGAGACTGCTGTGGTACCCAGTGGCCACGGGACAGACTGCTGTTATGAGAAACACAGGTTCCATCTCTTCTCAGTATTCTGCACTGCTCCAACTTCTCTCCCTCACACCCCATGGCAGGTATTATTCTGACATCGGGAAGATGCCAGCCATCAGTGATCAGGACATGAATGCATACCTAGCGGAGCAGTCCCGGATGCACATGAATGAGTTCAACACTATGAGCGCGCTCTCAGAGATCTTCTCCTATGTGGGCAAATACAGCGAGGAGGTGAGCCCTGCCCTACTCAGCCTGTTGGGAGGGGAGAGGGCAGAGAAGGGGAAGAGTGGGTCACCCTGCATGCCTCCATGTACTGGAGCAGCCCCATCAGCACCCCTCCCTAACTCTACCAGGAAACTCAACTACGAAGGGCTGTGCTTTAAAGGCTGGGAACCTGGCAATGCTCTAATCCCTGTTCCTACAAGACTGGTTCATTTGTTCTCTTTTTATTCTTATTTTTCTTACCACTATTCCCCCTTTTTATTTTTTCATCATTCTCTGATCTAATTTTCTTTGAAAAAGCTCTTCTCTACTTCCCAGGCTGTATGGTGTGGTATGATATACTACAATTGTAGAATGGATCCGAACAGAACAGAAACTGGATAGAATAGGATGAAACAGAACAGAATGGAATACAACAGAAAATAATAGAATAAAGATGATTAGGGTTGAGTTGAACAAAAACAAAATAGAATGGAAATAGAAGAGTAAAATGGAATGGGATGGGACAGGATGGTGCAGGATGGAATGAATGTGTTTATAGTTGCTGAATTCCCCAGTTGTAAAATTCTACCTGGAATAATCATTACTATAGGTTCTGCCTCCTTCCTGATCAGTACTAAGGTAGTGTGGGGAGCTTTACCAGCCATGCAGCTGTGGACCAAGATTCCCTGCCTTTAAGTGGAAGGTAGTCACAGGAGTTGAAGCTAGTGCTCCAGGGGCTCTATTTCCTTACAGCTTTGCCAAGAGAGGTCTAGGAACCCTGGTTAAAGAAAGCATTGCAGACCCAGAGCCTAGTGTTTTACAGGCCAACAGGAGCACATTCTGTGACTCTCAATTCAAAGAAAGGCCATGTGTCCCTCATAGGGTGAACCCAGGATACTGGTCTGCAGACCTGTACTGATCCAGGGAAAGTTATTCATGTGTGGGAAGGCGAGATAATGACAATGAGGCATATACATTAACGTAAGGTTGCTACTACTTAATCTTGGAAAGGACTGTCCCTTCCCCTACAAGTGTGGCCGTCGCTCTTGGTGTCAGAATGTCCCATCTTTATGAAATAATGGTGCCAGTAAATAGCAATTCTTGGCAGCTCAGAAGCAGGCAACTCCAGCTTTGTTCCCCCAACTAAAAATACATTAGCTGGTCACGAAATCCAAAGTTTTTGGAGGCTGCCTCCAGCTGTTAGCATCTTATTTTCCTCCTCTACCTCCTTCCTATTTCTGCTTTTCAGAAATCAACCCCAGAACATCCCACCCTGCTTGCATTATCTACCGCAGAGCTGGTGTTGTGCTAAGGAACTGAAGTCTGAGTTTAGCCTTGGCATTGCAGCAGATCAGAGATTGAGTAGTAGCTCCTGTACTTCTCCAGACAAGGAAACAGAGTTCATTCAGAGAGATCACATGTTTACCCCAGGTCCCTCAGCTAGAAACTCAGTTAGCACTTAATCACATACCTGCTGTGTCTACTCGGATTCCTAACATGTTTTCTACACACGTCACCATCGCTGTCTGTTCTTGTCCTTCACCAACCATCTGAGCAGAGAGGCGTTTGGTGGACTTCATGACCAATAAAGCTCAAAGTCAACTCTTCTGGTGTATTTGGTTTTGAATGGGCAGTTAATCCTGATCAGTTACCAACTGTAGACATTTGAGCCCCAGGAATCTGATCTGGGCCATTTTCCCTGTTTTGGAAAGAGAAGTAGGGTTTCTTAGTGTCAGTAAAGTCACATCAATATTAAATTGAGCACCACACTGTCACATTGGGTGTGGAACACTCTGCTGTTGAACCTGTAGGTGGCCTCTGTACACACACATCATTCAGCTAGCACCTGTGAAAATGGATGTGTCAGCATCCTATGCTCCTGGCCAGATGGTTGGCCACATACTGTGCCCCATGCCCAGTGCCTCCCACACATCCCCAGCCAGGCTGCCTCCTTACCCAGTAACGTTACATGTGCATCTGCAAGTGCACATGTCTTCCCTACTCCTTGACCATGTCCATGCTGGCTGTGTGTGCCCTAAGAGTGCAAATGTACACACTCAAACTAGTAACCTTCCTGTTCTTGGCTCTTTCACAGATTCTCGGACCCCTCGACCATGATGACCAATGTGGGAAGCAGAAACTGGCATACAAACTAGAACAAGTCATAACCCTCATGAGCTTAGACAGCTGAGAACCATCCTTCCAGGGCCACCCTGGAGGGAGGGACACACCAAGCCGTGCCTCAGTCTAGATTATCATCTTTACCAAGTGCAAGTTCCGACTGGCATCAGCAGCATCCCCTGAGCAGTGCTATCTCTCTTTCTCTCCCCTCTTCTCTGCCTCTTTCTGTCTCTCTCTCTCTCTCCTTCCTGGTCCTCTTCTCTTTCAGTTTCTCTGCCAACATGATTGGACCAAGCCACCAACCCTCAGTTACTTCTTGGTGGCCAGCAGGCCCACATCGAGGGATCTGACCAGAGATGTCAGAGCAGGGTCCTCTCTCAGATGCGTCTGACCCCACCCACCAGCAGCAGGGCTCAAATATGGATGAGAAGCTGTGGACAGAGGATATTACTATGCTGCTACTTCACCTTCTTCTTGGAAAATGGTCCAAAATTTGGCTTAGGGAAGAGACAATGAGCTCAGTATTATCTTCACTCAGAAGATGTCACCTGACTCTCCCTCCCAACACTTCCATCTCCAAGGAGCCAGTCAGTGGTCTGGGTGCTTTGCAAATGGTGAGAAGAGACAGCTCACCTTCCACATATGACTGGAGTGGGAACTATGTGAGGAGCTGGGAGGTACTCCTTGGGGTGCCTCTTACCTGCTGGGTTGGTGTTCAGAGGCCTCCGGTCCCCTTGGAGTCTCCCAGGAGCCCTTCCGGGCATCCATACAGACCTTCCTGGCCAGCTTCATCCCCTGCCTGTGGAAAACCAGATAGAAGAAAAACATAGCAGTTACATTCCACTGTGGAGAAGCCCCTATCCTTCTAATCTCGCTCAAAGCAGCAGAAATGTAGTGCAGAGGAGGAGACAAAGAAAGAGGGCTGCATCTGCCCTAGAAGAAGCATTTGTTGTTCTCCACTCACCGCCCCCCAAATCAAGTGCATCCTGACCAATAGTCATAGGTCTAGTCCATTGCCAGAGCCTCAGCACTGTCTAGCGAAGGTTTCTCCACCTCCTTGTCACCTGTCATCAAACATCAGCGTGAAATGCAGAGCGCATCCAGGAGATTCTACCTCCAGCCGTCTCCAAGGCTCCATCCCCAATGTCCTTGAGAACTTCACAGAAGGCTGGGGCAGACAGCCTAGTCCTTCCTCCCCTCCACATCCCTGAAGAAACTGGTGCCATTGCTATGCAGATGACTTTGTCACTGGGCTGTCCAGACCTCCTTGGAAACTATCTCATCAACATCTCAGCTGTGTCTTGAGTCATTCTTCTTCATCTCTTCAGAATCATTGGAAGAAACATACACAAGCACAGACATACCAGGGCAAACCAAATGCCAGCCAGTCTTGGCCCCCAGCTTGTCATAGCTGTGAAGGACTGGAGAGCCAAGCTGAGGGACTGGCTGGAAATGAAGGGAGGGACACACAACTGACTGTGGCCCTGGCATCCATCGCTCCATCAGTCCCCCTGTCTGTGGGTATGTCATCTTAGCCAGTCAGGCAAATGTGTGCTCAGAAATGGGTCCTAGGTGAGCAGGGGCTCTGGCGAGATGTGGTCTAGTGATGGGTCCTAGGAACCTGTAATCTGGAAGAGACCTTCTGCACTATGTGGTCCAACATCCACCATAAGCAGGACTCTCTTCTGATGGCTCTGGTCTTGAGTTGTCTTCTACTTTGGGAGGCAAGGAGAAGGCAGGGTCGATAAGGATCCAACAGTTTTGCCTGCACTCCCTGAGCACCAGACATCATTCCTTGTCATCCACTCAAAATGAGCCCCACGTATGAAAAGAGTCACACATTTCCAACAGAGTCCACATAGCATCCTGCACTTTCAAGAACACTAGGCCCTTTGGATATGAATAAGTGTGTGTGTATCTGTGTGTGTGCACACACATGTGCGATCATGTGTGTATATGTGTGTCTGCCCAGAAGCAGGCAGAGAGCTCCAAAAGATTTCTTGTCCTATGTAGAAGGATGTGGAAGTGTTTCTCTTCTCTGTCCCCTGCCTGATCAGTTCATCCTGCAGCTTCAGGACATTTCCACACTTGCTTTCTATGCTGAGTGCAAGAGAAGAGGTCATCTGTCCATAGAAAAGCAGGGTGGTCACCTGCTGAGGCTGGGACTTTGGTGACCCAGAGCAGCCCATCACATGGCATTGCAGAGGACAAATGTAAAAGACACAAGCAACCTAATAAGTAGGAAAAGGACAATGAGAAAAAATTCATTTAAAAGGAGAAAACAAATGTAACCAAAGGTTTTGGCAAGTAAGCTGCCAGATGAATTTCTGGAATTTTTATTGCTGATCAAATTATTTTCTCCCAAAAATAATTTGTGAGACCTGGAGGTCAGAAAGGGTACACATGGGAAGCAGGCTGAGGAAGCACCTTGGCCACTACAATATTTTTGCACAAATGGAAGGGTAGGGAGGAGAGAGAGACACAAACCTATTTAACACAGATTTGCTGGATGGAAGCTCTGTGTGAGTGTGTATAGGAGTGAATGTGTTTTTGATTTATTTTTTAAGTTTTGCACAGTTAGAGGAAAAAATGAACAAGCAGAAAAAAAAAGACTGTTATCATGGTTTCGCTGAAGCTTTTATTTTTTACCAGATGATTATTATTGTTATTATTACATTGTCGGTACAGGACTCCCCCCCACCCCATCTTTTGTTACAAATAGTACTTCAAACATTGCAGAGAAACATGTCAGGAAGAAAGAGGAAAGAAGGGTAGACAAGTTTCCTGTCTTCTCGTCTCTGCTGGCTGAGGGTTTGGAGCACATTTTAATTTAATTGGCGGTGTAGGTTGTTTCTGGCGCTTTGCCCACAGTCTGTGGCCTGTGTGGGGCTGAGAACTGTTATCACCCAGAGCCGCACCCCACCTTGCCTGTTAGCAGCCTTATTTCCTTTGATTGCTTTTCCCCCCATTTCTTCCATTTGAGTTGGCACAAGTGTGACACATTTAAAAGCAAAGACAGTATAGCCCGAAAGCTCTCTTTCCCCCAAAATCTTCTCTCTCAACTCCCCCTGTGATTCTCCAGCTCTTCTTGACAGGTCAGCAACCCAGAGAGCTCTCAAGGTGGTCCCTGAGGTTGCAGAAGAAAGGAGTTAACTTGGTCCTGTGCACGGAAGAACCCTCGTACCTCATCTGCATTGGGGTCAATTTGCAGAAGCCCAGTTCTGTTGCAGATGGAAACTATCTCACTGCTGGAGTCTGGGCAGTGGGCACGGGATAAAAAACAACCTCTCTTACATTTCCCTTTACCTCACCCCTTGTCCTCCTCCCCTTGAGACCACAGGGTCTAAATGGTACCAGATCACACTGTCAAAAACAACTGAGCTAAGTTAGGTGAGGATTTTGAATGTGGAAGATGTGTTGATGTGTGGTAGTGACAGGGAGCAGAGGAGCCTGATGGAGTCCTGAATTTAAATGAATCGATGGAGGAGGTGGTGAAAGATTGCAGGAGCCCGGCCATCTCTCCTAGGACATATGTCCCCTAGGTGTAGGCTTGGCCCTCTTTGTCCTTCCCGGTAAGGCAAGACCCTGACATTTCTCAGTAATTGTGGCCAGTGGCACTAAGTGAAACTGGCTGTTGTGTCAGTTACTCCCTCAGAAAAATAGTTGCTTCCCTTCTTTAATATGGCTTTAAATTTGGGGATAGAGCACAGCCCCAGTGTTCCCCATGCCAAGGTACATTACAACTTGCATAATGTGCACAGCCCCTCGCTCCTCTCTCACACAGCCCCTGGGCTAGTGAGGGGCTCAGGATACTTGAATGGGGCCATGTCTGGAAGAGAGGTCCTTAAGTGAATCCTGAAGTTAGAGGTTGAGTGTCTAAGAAGACTCTCAGGGAGAATCTGGAGTTCTGATGGATAGTTCTCTCTGTTGTCCTCGTCCCCTTGGCCCACTTTTCACTCCCCACCCAGGATCAATGCAATATATTGACCTGGTACCTCCCCAGCTCTGGCATTTCAGTACTCATGTGCCCCATCCAATGTCTGGCTTCTGCCTGTGCCTCTCTCCAGGTGGTGAGTATCCTCTTTGCTCCTCCTTACCTCTCCTGTACGTTGAACTTCGCCCAAAGGCCATCTGTTCCCCTCAGGGCAGGAGCAGCTCAGTCTTCAGTAGAGCCCTGCTCCAGCCCAGCCTGGTCCACCCACCCAAAGCTGCCTCTCTAAATGGTAGGAGCTTCCTCACTCAGCTATGGCCTTGTACATTCCCAGCTGAGGACCCTGAAACCTCCACAATGACATCCCAAATGACCTCCATTCCAACGAGAGAGCCTCTGCCGCTGTTCTTAGGCCCTACACAATGCTGTGATCCATCCACCTGGAGCTAAGCATCTTTCACTTTGGCCTAAAAAGAGAAGTCCCGTTGCCATCTGTCTTTTTTCACAGGACTGAGGGAACGCTGTCTCTACTGTCACAGTGTGCTGGTCCGTATTTAGACCCCTGTTTCCACCTTCAGCAACAACCTTCCCTCTTTCTCACAGGAGGCCACTGAGTGAGGGAGGACTGACCTAGGGAGTCACCCTGCAGGCAGAAGGCCAGGGCACCTCCTCCTGTCCCTCCCAGGAACAGCACCCAGGGAGAAGTCCCAGAAAGCTTTGAGAGGCCACTGAGGGGCATTTCCATGAGTGAGTGAGAGAGCTCTCAGGACCCACCAGGCCCAGGCAGCTCACGGCCCTGCCTCCTCTTAGGCCTTTCCTCTTATTCCTCATCTAAATAAAGGGCCTCCTCCCAAAAGCCCCTAGGACAGCTGGCTAGGAGACTCTGAGCCCTTCACTCCTCCCTTTTAAAAAGCTCTGGGCTATTTATTTGAAGTTTTGTCATTATTCTTTTCTTTGTGCATTTTAATCGCTTGAGAGTAAGGAGGAAGCCTGGATATGGATGCAAAGTTCAGATTACCGGGGAGAAGGACATCTGTGAGTTCAGGGATGAGGAGAGCCTAAACGGCCAAGGGTAACCTCTTCTATTAAAGGAAGAAGTCGTGGCATTCCCCGATGCAGATGTTGCCCGGTGAAGCTTCCTGCCTGGCTGCTAGGACTCAGTGCCTCCCCTGCTCTTTTAACAGGCAGAGTAGGCCTGGCACCCTTCTCCCTCTTCCCACTGCCTCACCCCAAGATGCTCCGCATGGAGCAAACTAGAGCCTTGTCTCACAAGGGGGCACCCACAAGAGACCCTGAAGAGGCAACTCCTGATAGAGGCTGGGACGCCACCAGCCTCCTCTCCCATGGTGCTCCAAGTGGGGAGCAGAGCACTAGCCTCTATGTCTGACCATTCCTCCCACCAGGAAAGCAATCACTGCAGGAAAAGTTTCAGATATTAAGGAAGATTTTTTTTCTTTTTTTTAAAACTACAAATCTCTCCTCCCTAATAAAAGCTATTTTTAATTAGGGGGAATATCCAAGTTTTAAAAATATATAGAATTTTTGGTTATAATTATCATACATACTCATTAGAGTCCCAGTTAAATTCCTTGAGTAAACTGATGACTAGTAGAAAGCAAATCTAAGCAAAAAAAAAAAACAAATCCTTTAGGAACAAAAAGAATTTTCTGTTCATACTGGCAGAGGTATTGAGGTGGTCCAGGTGGGCTGGGGGTCCTTACATGAGAAGTCTCAGCTGGCCCCTTCTCCCTCCTCCTTGAGCTTGAGTCTAGTCTTGGCTTTCCAAGCTACCCCTTGAGTTGCTGAAACCTACACATTTCTTATCAGCTCCCCTCAAACTTCAGGGAATCCCTGCCTGGGGGTACCCAAATTCTCCCTCCCCGAGAATGCGAAATCAATAGACTCTGCCTATGCAGCTCATTTTCCACTGGTTTCTTTTGTTAGTATCTTGAACTTTAACTCAAGCACATTTTGGAAGGGCTCCCTTAGGAGCAAAATTCAAAACAGAGGATACAGTTAAATAGCAACCCAAAAGCCACTTAAGAAGCCAAGACTACTTTAGCAAACAGGACAAATGAATGCTTTGATGCACAGAGGATGGTGGGCATCTGGGTACAGAATGAAGATGGCTATGTGTCCTCATCTGTTCTCCTTCCCGCTCCTTCCCTGGATGTTCTTGTCAGCTTGTTGGGTATTAAACCTTTCATTCTTTAACAGAAAAGTTAGTTTACCTCAAAGAATCTTGTTTCCATTTGGAAACTAATGACTTTGTGTTTTTGGGTGGATGACCCTCCCCTCCATCACCCCCTGCCTGGGCTTAGTGTCCTCGGGCATGAGATCTTGGATTAGTCCCTTGTTGGCTGCTCTGAGTGAAAACAAGGCTTCCAGGCCCTGTAGGGGAAAAAGGATTGGCTGCAGCTGTCTTCCTTCCCACTTTGGCTTCTCTCTTCCAACAGGGTCCTCCCAAGTTACTATAGCAACCAGCAACTCCAAGGTACCACAACAGACAATGGCTCAGTGAGCTGAGGTGTGGGGGCAGAGCAGAGGTTATGACCTGGTCAGATGACCCAGAATGAACCCTAAGTCCAAGAGGGAAGAGGAAAAATAGGAATAGTTGCATGGGTGTTTTAAGGAACGCAGAAATCTTTGAGTCTCAGAGAGAGGCTGCTGAAAGAAGCAGAACAGGTCGTTTCTGTTCCAGTTAGCCCTTTACTGCCCCACCCCATCTCTGTTCCAAAATAAGTCTCTCACCTTGATCAATGACCCTTTGTTAGAACACAGCAAAACATACCTTTAGACAACAGTGTTAAAAATGAGCCTCAAAGACATGTGGATGAGACCTATGTGGAAAAAAGGGTCTTCTGGTTTTGGTTTTTAAAGAAGAGTATCCTAATAAGATTTAAAAAGAAGATTTTAAAAAAGTTTTTAAAAAGAAAACCTATGCTATTTAAATTGGAACCCAGTTGTAACTTGGTAAAGGCAAGCTTCTGTACCTTTGTTATAATTAATTGTATACCTGTGTATGTAAATATAAGGCATTCCTATTTTGCAGTTCAGAACAAAAAACTTATTTGTAATATAGAATAAAGTTTATTAAAAAATAATAAAAATGCACTTTGAGATTTGGGGTCTTTATGTGACTGGCTGGAAGGGGGCAGGGGAGAAGATTGATCATAAGCAGCTCTCTCTGTGCAGAGATATAGGGCATCTCCTGCCTCCTGCTCTTTATGTCTACCTCAACCAACAGAGAAAGGCTCTATTCTCAATGACAATGAAGCCATCTCCATGTCCCAGGGACCACTCTCCTATTGCACCTGCCTGAACGCTGTCCTCCAGCACTCCCCAGCAGCTCCTTAAGAGCTGGTTCTGAGGAGGACTCAGGAGTAACTATCTCTGTTTTAGGTCTTCCTGGCAGGCTACACCTTGTAGTCAATGATTTTATCACACACACACACACACACACACACACACACACACACACACCACACAGCATATTCTAATGGAGGTGAAAATTGTGACCCCAGCTTCCCCTAGAAGTAGAGGATGGAAGTAGGAAGAAAGAGTAAGAAAGAGACCCTGTCTTCCCGTCTGTCTCACACATCTGCCCACAATCCACACTACTTGGAGCTGTGGGTATAGGAGAAGAGAAACTGGTGTGGATGCATAAGGTACCCTGCTCCAGCACCAGGACATTCAGCTGTCTACCTTGGGCAGACCCATTCACCTCTGAGCCTCAGGCCAACAGAAGAAGGCAGGATGGGCTAACTCCATGCAATTCCAGTGGGCTTATTATTCACAGTAAAAATGATGAAAGAAAGGAATCAGGAAGAAGGATAAGGAAGAAGGAACAGGAACACAAAAAGGGGAAGGCAAGGGAATGAAGGGAGGAAAGAAAGTGTGGGGAAGATACAAGACCTAGGACATTCAAATGTCAACAGAACGTCAGGTGAATCTTTCACTCCCCTGTCCCCCTACTATCTCCCAACCCTGATCCTCACATTCCTCCAACCTTCAAAGCTCCACCCCTGTTGGTAATGTAGAAAGGGGTTCACCAGAGATGGGGCCTCTAGCATCCATGAAGAGAGGGACAGGAAGGAACTTGGGGGTATTCCACCTGGCTCGGCCCCTTGGCACTGTCCCACTTCTAGAAAACCAGTCAGAGCTACTAAAGAGGAAGAGCAATGAGCACAAGAGCCGGCAGCCTTTCATAGACATAGTACAGCGAAGTGACCAGAACACCTTGGGAATGACCATGGAAACAGACAGAGAGGCCTGGCAGGGAAAACCAAGCTGGAGGCTTCAAGACCTAGGACAAACAGAATGGGCTGAAATCAAGCAGAGCTGGTGCAAGCCACAGTAAATTCCATGTCCAGAATGGAATGTCCTCCCCTTCTTGGGAAAGATGCAGATAGGTGGGGACAGTGATCTCGTGCTGAAGGTTCATCCTGAGTTCTACACACTGCCAAGTTCCTAGCACATTCTCAGAGACACTTGTGTGTATGCTCTCATACTTTAATCAGAAACAACTGCTCTGACCTTGAGCAGATCTCTTCTCCACACTTTTGTTTCCTTATTCATGAAATAGAGACGGTTCTAACTGTACCACACAGCCCAGAAGATTGAGGCAAGCCAGTTCATACAACTAAAGCAAAAAAGGATAGTGAACTCTGAACAGTCATGCATGCACACAATATATCATCAATCAAAAAACAATTCAGTAAAAACAAGAGTAGCTATTTTGGAGCCCCAATGATAAATTTAGAATGGACGCCTTCTTTACTCACTGCAAGAAAAGTAACACCTTAGAAAGTTTTTATTGTTGTTCTTTTGCAGGTGGAAAGAGCAAGTTCTGAAATCAAAATCTGTCCCTGGACTAACAGAGCTGCTTCTAGCTAAACAGAGAATAAAGGCAGGGTGGGTCACTTCTGCACTAATCCCTTCCTCTCAGCCTGCCCCACCTTTGATTTAATCAAATGCCCTTCTAGAATATTGAACCAGAAACTGTCGGCCTGTTGAGAATATCTGTTAAATCTCAAGGCACAGATACAAGTTTGGAGCCAGGCAGAGGGACATGGGGTAGATGGTGTCACTGTTCAGCAATACCTACATCCCCTCCCTTAGTGAACATTGAAGTTTCTCACCTCAGAAAAGTCTTGCTGGCCAAGCAACCTCGGGCCAGTGAAATATGAACATTAGTGATATAAGTCACCTGCAATGATCCAAAAAGTAGTATGCTCCATCATCCTAGACTACAGAGCAGGGCAATGATGACATATAATAGAGTCACTAACTGATCCTGATGGCTATGTAGGCAGAGTGAAAAATCAACTGTCATTTTAAGGCGCTGAGGTGTGAGAGTTGTTACTGCAGTATAATGGAGATGATCTTCATTGCTACAGGCGACATGAGTTTTAACCTGATCGATATAACCCATGTATAAAATCTCACCTTTTACCTACAGAGAATTCTTTCGAGCTACATCTTTTTTAAAATATAATATTGACTACTTGCATGCAATATAAATCAATTTTTGAAGCTCCTAATTTTCCTGAGCTGGATTTGAGACAGATTTGGTGTGAAGAAGAAGATTAAGGGTAAGTAAGAAAAAGGAAAGGAGAAATCTTTATAGAACGGAAAGCAGAATGTGGAGGTTAGGGTAAGTATTGGAAGCAATAACTTCAATTTTTATCAATGGTTAGTTTACCAGGGAAGTACAGAACTCACCGTAATGCATAAAAAACACATTCTCAACCTGGGTCCTGGCTTCAGATGGCAGCCACCCTTGGGAGCCGTAGATGACAGCTTCTCATGATGTCTAGAAAGATGCCTGCTTACTCTAGTAAACACTTGATCCTTCTAATGTAGAGGAAAGGAGAATCTCCTGATCACCAACCCCCACACACAAATAGGGTTCTTCTGGCCCTGTCCTACACTATACTCCACACGTGGGCTGCCACTCCTCCATCATCCAAATTCCCAATAATTCCAGTTTACACCTCCTCCACCTCTGTCAACGGGTCATAGGGATGTGTGGCAACCCCAGTCACTAGGAACATATCTGTCATCACAGGAAACATCCTGTTTCCTCAGCCAACTGCATCCAATTCCATGGGGCAATCCTTCTCCCACTGTTTGTCTCCTGCTTTATGAATTCCCACAAAAACACAGCCTGAAGAAAGCACTGCATCCAGCTGTGGGAGCAGTGTATCTGTGCAGACAGCTAGGACTTCCATCCCTGGGATCAACTCCTGGGCTGGTTCAAAGCTTGCCCTTTACTGCAGCAAGTTCCTAACCATCTCTAACATCTTGATTTTCTCATCTGTAAAAATGAAAAGAACACAGCCACATAGAGTTGTGTAGGTTGAGTGAGGTAAGGACTGCGGAGCAATAGAATTACCAAGCTCTTGGATATAGTAGTCCTGATGCCACCAGTGGACAATGGGGGCTATTCTTGAGCACCTGCTCTTCTAGAAACAACCTCACCATATCTCCTCTCCAGTGATAGCCCATGGGACTACACCCAGCATATACTAGTATTTTTCTTAAAAATCTTTTTAAATGAGTGAAGCAAAGCAGTTTTAGGAATTTCTCAACTGCTCAATCCTGCATTTGAGATGCAGATGGAACACAGCTTCTTAAGAAAGTATACAAAAGCAGTGCCTGAGACAAGCATTGTGAGCATGGGGTATTCAAACTGTCCACCTGCACACAATGGGATTCCACTTCCTTAGGCATCTAGAAACCATGCAGTGTTCTCAGAATGGAACCACTGCTTCTCACTCCCATGGCCATAGCCTTCCCAGTGGGTCCTGTATTCACTCCTGCTTCTAAATAAGTAAGAGGCTGAAGGGCTGAGTGGATGTCCCGTGGTAGTGGCAGACAAATCCTGGGACAGAAGGCAAGGGAGATGCGGTGTCCTCAAATCAGGCGCTTTTAGATTCTACAGGCATGCCACCCAGTTGCTGTGGCAACAGCAGACACAGAAAGGCAGGTCAAGGGGATAGGAGATGAGGAGCCAGGGAAGTCTAAATAGCACAGTATATAATCCTTTAAAGCCACTAATTAGTTCTATAAAAGCAAGATTAAAGTCACTTTAAATAATATTTTTTGGTATGGACCTCCAATTTTCTTCTAACTTCCTATTTTTTCTATTACTTCCATTATTACCCCCAGCCACTGTTTTTCTCCTCCTTTCTGTCTTTCACAATAAGCCAAGTTTTATTCCACCTTGAAAGTATTGACATCTGTGAGATAAGGAACATCAAAGTGACACTGAGTCATGGAAGTTGGTGACAGCTAGATGAACCCATTTGTTCTGTGGCTCATCAAATTCACAGAGACTTCTAGAGAGGGACTTGTTGCTATTTAACCTTTCCTGGCCCTTTCTGTTTTTCTCTTCTTCCACCACACAATTAACACCTCATCCTGAAGGGTTGTAGCCTCTGATTGCCTGTAATGCACCACTTTGTACTTTAACAGAATCTGCCCTGGTGTGTACATGATAATTTCATCCACTAATAATTTTACCCTTTTATTTCCTGTCTCTTTAACTCAGAGGAATTCTAAGACTCGGGTCTTCTATTCGTTTCTTTCATTCTGAACTCAATACTAGATTTTTAAAAAGCTCACTGTTTACTCCTTTGCACTAGGCCAGAAGACCACTAAAGATCATTTCACGAAACTAACCTCATATTAGAGGTGAGGTTTGTAAACATTAGCCTCCCAATGAAAAAATTTGGTTCTTTATGAAAATATATATTGAGCAGATAAAGAAAATGCCAGTGTTAGGTAGAACTGTACACTTGATTGTATATATCTCACTCACATATGTTACTTCATGCAGTTCTCAGGATTCAGCTGCATGCTCCAGTTACCATTTTATACTCATTTTACAGACAAGTATACCATGGCTCAAAGCAGTGACAACTTCAGTCCTACAAATGGCTAATGACAGAGTGACAGAGCTGGCATAAGATCCTAGGTGTCTTAGATTCCAGAACCTTTATGCTTAATAAATGTACTACCCATACCAAACCATAACTAAACCAGTCTCAGTTCTCTCTCACTCTGAGGGATAAGTTATTACCATACTATTGGAAATGCAAAGAACATTG